TTTTAGAAGGAAAAGTGAAGCTGTAGTTTTTTGTTCCAGTCATAAACGTATGCACATTTTTTTTAAATATAAAAATAGCAAAAATAATAAATATAAAAAGAGCAAACTAGACATTCTTCACCTTTCGAAGCCATATGTCTATGCATTGATTTTTAATAGGAAGTTCGAAATTTGGCAGCATGTTTTTGTAATAATGGATACTAATCGACTGTGTACTTCGTCCGGCCGGCTGTAGATATTCGTTACTCTTAAAGACTTCTCTTTTATAAATGTCACTAGAAGTAACGGAAGGAGTACATGAATACATGAACGGCGACGACTGGAAGTAATCTGGAACTGGAATCTTTGCGTCCTCTGGAACCGCCAGTGATTTTGGTTGGCAACGCGCTCAGTGCATGCTAACGCGCGACCCGATGGCGGCATTCACTGCACCTTGCGTGATGTTCTTCGATATGATCCTTTTGTAGGGCATGCTTCAGCCAGAAAATACGCATACACTAACCCAGAAGAAATCTGTAGAAATTTCAGAGTACTTACGCAGTTTTGCAAGCTTAATATCACGCTTGTTTATTGTTTCTTTTCTTATTCCTAATTGTAGTGATATTACAAATAATATATAATAAAATTGACATAGAATAAACTAGTAGGCTCACAAAATAATTATGAATGAAACTTGAGTTGATTCTTTTTACACACTAATGTATTAGTTAATAAATTAACTGGTCATGAATATGCATAATCCTTTGAGAGTATCTCTGAAGCTTTGAATTAATCATTGTAGTCTATTAAGTGTTATAGGACAGCCAACCCTTTACCTTTCAACCTACCCTACTACATGAACAATAGATGATCGATTTTTATCGATACAGAGTTCAATATAAAAATGAATATGCAAAAGTAACAATTAGAATAATCAATAATGTCTTTGATCGCGATGCTGCATTAAGTCATTTCGCTACCATTAGCTGTAACGTCAATTTCTCATAGTCATTTTTCTTTGATCATGAACGGCACACCCATTTTATTGAAGGGTACGTGCACAATACACGATAGCACCAGGTGTACTAATTGTGAATTGACTTTAAATTGGCGATAAGTTATTAATTTCTTGGATTTACGTATTTGTATGTTACGTGTTAATCATACTTTAGTCCCATGATTGTGGACGGTAAAGTGATCGAAACCCGGTATTTTAAAATAAATTAAACGATTAATAGTTGTGTTTAGAATTGGTTATTGGTTATTGATTTCATTTAACCATTTAGTAATTTATTAGAATCATATTTATCTTTTCCTTTCTTAATTATTTTTATTATTTATTTTTTGCTGCAGCGTCTGCTGTTGCATGATCATCCGTGGAAGCATGACGTCCTCTCAGTAGACCACCGTGATGTGGAAGTGTTATTCTTTCGTACATGACATGCGTGCACTAACAAAATGAAGACATTGCCGGCTTTGGGCCGCCGGACCTGGCTCGCGGATCGTGACATCGAAGGGCACCTACTTAGTTATTCATTCGCTCGAGGAGCGAAAGCCACTGTTAGCGAAAGAGTGTTGCTACCCCGTTGTGGGCGAAATAATTTCGTCCCTTTTCCCGACGAAGTTTCACGTTACTCTAAGAAAGGGTTTCTCAAACTTTTGGCTCCACGAACCCTTGTTAAAGTTTCCAGCTGACAGCGAACCCCTTAACGTATTAAATCCCCTCCAAAGAAAATAATTAAATTGAAAAACTGTTGAAGAAAATAATGTTTTTATTTCAACAAAAGGTAACATACAGTGCTAAAAGAAATATATTTTTAATACTGACGTGATGGATGGGCTTTTAGGAGTAATTTTGGACAGTTTTAACCTTAATTATGACTAGGTATCAAGGCGATTTTTTGTTTCGTTTTTATAATTTATGTATTTCGTTTTTACCATGACCAGGTGTAAAAACCCACTGTCCCATAAGTATGATGTAGCAAAGGGTAAAAGGAAATTTACCGCTTTGCGTGCGAGTTCGGAATAGCTACCATCACGTAAATCTTGTCCCGTACCCCACTTTGAGAAACCCTGGTCCAGGACGTATGCAAACGATTGCATTAGGACCGGTCGATATTTTTTCGTATACTCATTACTTATAATTTTTTATTAAAAATTTATTAACTGTCAAAAATTTTAATTAACTGACAACAATAGCAGTTAAGCGTATAGCACCTTAATAACTATTTAAGAAGTACATAAAACTTCTTTTGGCGCATTATGAGGAGTTCTTCAGATCTTTTTCAGACGGCAGTAACGGTACTAAAGTAAAACTGAGTAATAAATGTGTTTCGTTCACAGCAGTTAATGTATGTTATTCACATTCGTCCTAAGCATATGCACAGCCCCGGATCATGCACGCCGGGACCAAGGGCGGATCCAGGGGGAGGGTCGTGGGGGTCATGACCCCCCCCTGGGCTGGGTCCACGACCTACGTGGACCACTAATTAAAATTGTTAAACATAATGTTTTAATATATTTTTGTCATAATATAGATTTAATGTAAGTACTTTCAGTATTTTTAATTAATATAATATAATGTTATGTATGCTTACAAACGCGCTTAAGACACTATGTGACCCCCCCCCCTGGCACCAAAGCTGTATCCGCCCTTGGCCGGGACCCATGCCCCCGGCGGTAAGTTCAAAGGGCGGCAAAATCACATTTTACAGACGAATGGACAACTCATATTTACTCAACTTTTCCCTAACAACTCGACCGATCGACCCAGAGCGCGGAGTGAGACGTGCTGCACGAACATTATTATTCGCGAGGCGAGAGATAGACATCTCTTGCAACAGATCTATGCGCATGATTTGCAGGATGCTTTTCCTAATATTAGGTCCTTACATATGAAATTAGCGTTTTGTCATACTGACCACTTTGATCTGAAATATCTCCTCTTTGGTTAAGACTTCCAAATTCAAATTTATAAATTCATTCCATACCGCACAATGGAAAACATGAAATATCGATATATTTACGAGTCCGAGTCCTACCTTAGCACCAGTGCTGCAGAAACAACTTGAAAGATTAATGATATGGACGGCGCTGGTGTCGCAAAACAAAGCACGGTACGTTTTTGGTTTCAACGTTTTCGTTTCCTCCTTCAGAACGAACCCCGTGGACGGCCGGAGACCACCGGAGGGAAATGAAGAATTAAAGGCTACTGTGGAAGCGGATCCATCACAAAGCACTTCAGAGATAGCTGCAGGCTTCGGGGTAAGTGATAACTGTATTAATCCACTTGAAGCAAATCGGGAAAGTAAAAAAAAATTAACGATGGATACCTCATGAATTGAGTGATTCGAACTTGCAAACACGTGTGGATTGCTGTTACTTTGCTCAACCTACACAATAATGAAGGGATTTTAAATCGAATCATTACTTGTGATGAAAAGTGGATACTGTAATCGTACAATCTGAAGCGCTTGTTACAATGACTGAACCCTGGAGACCCAGCTCAATCAAAAGCCAGCTAAACGAAAATTGACTCAGAAATTGTTACTTGTGATTGTTTGGTGGACTAGCGCCGGTGTCTTTCACTACAGCTTTCTAAAATCTGGCCAAACGATTACAGCAACTATTGTCAGAAACTGCAAACCATGAAGGAAGAAATAGCTGCTAAACTGAAAGTGGTCAATCCCTCTAGGCCACTGCTGCTTCACAACAACGCAAGACCACAGACTGCACAACAAACAATAACAAAGTTAGATGAGCTAAAATTCACCATACTACACATAATCCACCGTACTCCCCGGACCTTGCTCCAACAGATTACCATTTTTCCGGAATTATGACAACTAATTAAAAACTAATATAAATAATTAAAGAAAAGAAATTCAACTCCGATGCGGCAGTCCAAACCGCCTTCAAAGAGTTTATTGATTCTCGCCCCATGTTTTTTTTAGTAAAGGGATCAATGAACTGCCTATGAGATGGCAAAAGTGCATAGATAATAACGGTACATACTTTGAATACCTAATTAAATATATTTAAAAAAATTGACTTTATATTCCTCCCGTATATAACGCCAATTTCATGTGGTCATTTCATAATATTTGTATTTCCCTGCGAATTTACTTTACGCTTCCCACTACAGCTGAAAGCTGTGAGCGAAGTTTAAGCAAACTTAAATTAATTAAAAATTATTTGCGATCTTCTATGAGCCGGGAACGCTTTTCGTGTCTTGCAATCTTAGCGATAGAAAATCGAATTGCACACGAGTTAAATTATGTCAAAGTCATAGATTAATTTGCTGAACAAAAAGCTCGAAGAGTAAAATTGTAATTTCAATTCACAAATGCAATAATGTACGTGTTTGTGGCGCATTACAATGAGCTTACGTGAACTTCGCGTGATAAACTAAACAGACCATTAATTCTTATCAGATTGAATAACTTAGTAAAATCCATCAGTTTTATTGCAATGGAACAATTTGGCATGGGTTCAAAGCATTAGGGGCCCATGATAGTCCGCCTCACAAAGTATATCTTAAAAGCCTATATGGACTGGTTCACTTTATTTCAATGTCACAAAGGTTTTTGACAAAGTATAGCACAAGATGTTTGCTTCTAAAACTGCTCGCAAAATGTGTCAAACAGACAGTAGGCATGATCCTACCTTTGGAGCCTTTTTGTTAACTACAAGGCAAACTTTCCACAGGTCTGGTGGGCATTCCTTACATCATGATTGCATCATTTAATGCATATGCAATCCTAAAATGTGCTCTAAAATTACACAATCAATAAATAATAAGACAGAATATTTTTTAAAGTAAATTATGGTGCATGGAAAAAGGAATAAGAAAGCAATATTAAATTCTTTATTTTTATAAGCACTTTTAAAAAAAAATACTGCCAAATTTATAACTTGGCATTATTCAGACTTATAAATTTATAAATATTTTAAACAAAATTAATCTTAAAGACACTTTAAGATCATAAAAATTCAAATTAAATACTTTTTATAAATATTCAAAGTTTTGAGATCCAATCTTGCAATGACTTCATATCTGTAGGATTGTCATCATCACCAGCGTTAGCAGAACACTCAGCCACATCGACACGACAACTGAGGTGTGAAAATTCAAAGTCCTTTCCGAGTTTCCCCAAGTAAGTTGAGCTGTTTGATTGGTTAGGATCCACTGATTGCAACTGGCTGGATTTGGTCACACGCACCAAGTTACTGAAATAATTGTGTACGAACATTAAAAATAGCTTATGATATATAGTATGATTTTACACATCATATGAAATATATTATATCTTTTATTATACAGCGTGTCGTTACCATCGCGACAATAAATGAACACACGTCTAACGCTACTTGCCAATAATCATAAAAAAATATTAACGTTAAACAAAATCCATAATTAAACAAATATATTTTTCAAACAAACTAATTAAGTAAAAAAGAAACAAAATTTGTAACATCCTATACAACCCGCGCCACAGCGTCGCATTACAAGCCTCTCCTTCTAACAGTATGTTTTTTCTCTTTTAAATTCATTCAACCCATTCATATGCTTTGTGACCTTTACAAATGAACTTTACGTTACGCTTTTATAGGTAAGGGTGTTCTAAAATTCTTTGTTTTGGAAAATTTAATAATTCCGTAAATATTGATGTTTAAAGAATTTAAATGTTTAATACAACTTTAAAAAGTTATCCCCTATATGTGTGTTCATTTATTGTCGCGATGGTAACGACACGCTGTATACACTATATACAAAAGTAATTTATTAATTACTATTATTTATTAATTATACACTCAAAATGTTACATTTATCATTCATATAATATAAAAATTTTAGAGCTTTCAGTTCAAAATAGTATTAAGATTTTTGCATCACAATGTATAACAATAATTTCATTTTCAAATACTTAGGAGTCACTTTCGACTCGCGTATGTCATTTACTACCCACATTAATAACGTTCGCAATAGAGCCGCGTTCGTCTCCGGCCGGCTACACAATTTAACTAAAGCTAAAAGTAAAATGCCCTTAAGGCACAAATTATGATTATATAAGACCTTCGTAAGACCTATTATGTCCTACGCATGCATGACCTTCTCCCACACGCGCACCCTACTCGCTTGTTAGAAGTTGCAAACAGTACAAAATAAGTTCATCCGCCGCGCAACCGGTGCGCAGTGGTATCAACGCAACGTAATTTCATTTTCAAATACTTAGGAGTCACTTTCGACTCGCGTATGTCATTTACTACGCACATTAATAACGTTCGTAACAGAGCCGCGTTCGTCTCCAGCCAGCTGGAGACAACAATTACACAATTTAACTGACGCTAAAAGTAAAATGCCCTTAAGGCACAAATTATTATTATATCAGACTGCGTACGACTTATTATGTCCTACAATAGTACAAAATAGTTCATCCGCCGCGCAACCGGTGCGCTGTGGTATCAACGCAACGTCGAGCTGCACAGCGATTGCAGACTCCCGACGATTCGCGAATATTTTAAAGATCTGACCAAATTTTTCGATAGAGCCGAACATCATCCCAACCCTCTGGTGGTAAGCGCAGCAAATTACCAACCCGACACAAAAACGCGAACGTCAACAAGCGTCGCCCGCGAAACGTCCTCATCGACCCGGTCAAGGAAGGGGACTTAGATACGTCGGACCCACCGTCGGTGATCCTTCCGGATAACACTACACCCACAGCTAGTGTAACAACAAACACAATAGTTCGCCCTCGCCTCCGGCACGGCGAGACCAACACAACGCGTACACAAGGTACACCCGCGTTGCGGAGCGTTTCTCACCGCTCCCAGCCACCGCGTTCGACTGTGCAATTAGCTATTGCACAGTCGAACGCCATCGGGGTTTCGGTCCGACCTCGATGGCCCTTAGATGACACGCCATACTTAAACGCACGCATGTGCTCATGCGTGGCCCTACCCACAGCGGAGGGCCCAAACCTGTGTGTTCTGGCTAGCCCACCGGTTCTGCGTCAGATGAAGCTTTAATAGTCTCGGGACTGAAAGCAAAAACATCAGTTAATACAAGATTCAAGACACAAATATATTATAATGATAATTTCATACACACAAATTGTCAAATACTAACAGTTCCTTTTCCAGCAGACTTTGAATGACCTGACTTCCTTTGGCCATTGGCTGATCTTGTTTGTTGCATAAAATAAGTAGGGGAGGGCAGTTGCTCTGAACAACAGGGTCTAATAAAATGGTGTACAAATACCTAAAAGAAAAATAATGTATTGATAAATGTATAATTGATTTAAAAATAAAAATATTTCAGTTTAAATGTAAATTATTACATTAATTGTCTCAAAATTTGCAGGTCACAGAGATCAACTGACATTCTGTCACACCTTTAATAGAGACAACGGATGGGCCTTGCCGACTACTTGGAAACTTTTGTTGTTCAAAGGGACACAACTTAAGAAAAGTACTGTTGACGATTGTGTAGTAGATATTGTGAGTATATTGAGCACCCCTAAACACCAACAGTGACATTCAAGCATACATCTCGCCGTGGTCGTCATCATCGTCGACGCGACTGCAAATTTATCCCACTCACTATGATGAAGAGCCTCCGGTAGTTCTGAACTTAGTCAGTACATACAGCAATTGGATGTGAGTTCAGCCATTTAATTATCTAATTAAGAGCTTACCTGTCCTCTCTCATTTATGGGATGAACAAGATAAACAAAACCCAAGTGAAAGAATTTGTTAATAATGCGAAGTACCAGTGATTAAAGAAATCTGCAATATGTAATCAATCTCTTTGCAACACCAAATGGCAAATTACCTCTTTTAATTGCAATGATATTACAATCAACAAAATGTAGCTGTTCTTCTTTATGAATGTATAAATTGTTTAAACTTTGGTAAGGCCACACAACAATTGCTGTTGCACAAATAAGCAGGCTTGTCAAGAGAAGTGCCACAGCCTCACAGAAGGCAGACGTGAAGTAAAAATATTATCCTTTCACATTTCATCTGGTCAGTTAGTTAACAGGATAAATGCGTTTTAAAAGTTTTCAATGTATGTGAAAATTCCGCAGGTATGGTAGATGTTCATGAGAGGCGTTATTCATTTAATAGCAGGTGAAATGCCTGCTCGCTGACAATAAAAAAAATCGACTTACTCAGCAACATCCCTTATTTCCTTTTGTATGGTGACAGAGTCAACAACATAAACAATTGCCTTAGCACTATTTTTGTACTGATCAAAGAACTTATTCCTAAGCCTCTCCTGGCCAGGCAGGTCTACAATTCTTAATGATTTCTGTAATGAAGTGAATTAAAATATGTTCATTTATATAATTTATCTAATAGCTTGATAATTTCTCAACATCATACAAATGTAGGATTATCCTGGATGTATCTAATATAAAAGAATTATCTATGACATGAGCCAAAAACTTGCTCATGCATTGGTCGAAACTTGCCATCTTAATTGGTCAATGAAGCTACATAAATTGTAACAAATGATACTTTACTATGAAGCATATGGTATATCAGCATTTTTGGCATTGCAACATTAAATAATGATTTGAGAGACTAGGGTAGTGACTCTTAATAATGCTTTTAACCCTGAGTAGGCACAAGTAAAATAAATTAAAAGGAGTGAGTGGAACTTAAAAATTGTAACATTTAAACAATAATTAACAATGTATATTATAGTTATACATAAAAGATGGAAAGTATGCTTACATTAGATGTGGAATATTCCTCGACATTCTCTTTCATGGATGTAAACGTTTGTCTATATTGTGAATATGCAAGTCTCACAAACAATAGCGTCTTCCCAGAGTCAGAAAGGCCAGTAAGCAAGACTGACCTCCGCAAGTGACGCCGACGTGAGAAACACCACCAAAATACTAAAAAATGCAATAATTTACGATGAGAGAGGAAACATGTAATTATGAACGCATACTTAACCTTAAATTAACCGTATTTTAAATTAACCGTATTTTTACACCCCATATAACATAGTACTGGTTGTGATTTTGATTAAAAGGAATCGTATCAAATGTAAATAAAGACACTTACAAATTGTAAAAATAAGAAGTATTACACTAAGTAAGGTTATGTATCTCGGATCATTTAATATAGGTTCAGTGTGAATTTTTTCTTTAATAACTTCTGATTCAGACTCCATAAGGACTGTGTTTAATAGATGGTTTATGTAATTTAAAATTTGTTTATTTAATATAGAACAAGGAAAAAATTAATTAATACGTAGATAAAAGTCAACAGGAACAACATTAAGTAGGTGGAAATAGGCATGGGCAAAATATATCGATATATAAAAATATAGAAGATATTTATCGATATTTATTTGGAAAAATATCGATATTTTTATACATTGATTTTTATACATATAATAAGTTTACTCTATGCTAGATGATAATGATACAATCCGTTTACTAAAGTACCTACTCTTTGGATACAATCATTATCACTAGAGATGCGCAAAACAGTGCTTCAAAAAGTAATGTGATGTTTATCACATCACTCATCGAAGTAATATCACTCAAAAGCATTACGCATTACATTACTTATTACATTACGCATAAGGTCTATGTAGGTCTATACTGTGATGATGATGTTGCGATGGCATTACAGTAACAGACAGGGCTAAAGCATATTATGATTTTAATTTCATTACTCTTATGTACTTAAGGATTAAAGCGTATTGTGACTTTATTTAAGTGTAATAAGTATATGATATTCTAAATGTAAATATTAAAAATAGAGGTAATTTCGCAACTTATAATTTAATATATAGTTATTCCGTGTTTAATAATTAAACGTAATATTCAAAATAGCCTAGTTAAAAATACAGGAGGACAAAGGCGAAGGCTCTTGAATGGTGGATGTGGCTCATGGGGTCGCTCTCAAACCAAAAAGACACTTAAGGACTGATAGGAAAACTGTTTATTTCAACTTAAACATTTTGAACTTATTTTAGACCAAACATAATGATTATGAAATTTATATAAAATACAAGAGTTTTGTTAGATAGATGGACATGTTAATTCTTTAAGCAATTTTTACGGAATTTATCAAACATGACACAATTCAGTCTGAACAAATAAAACTAACATTCCAAATTTAATTTAAGTAATTCAAACATTAATACATAAACCAAACAGGTCAGAGTTGACATCAAAAGAGTATGTATAATCTGAGATTACTAATCAACAAAGGCAAAAGCTAATATGAATAAAAATCTATTGATTTGAACTATCTGAAAACAAATTTGAAAATATCGTCAAAAATTAATTTCAACCTTAATAGCATGCAATATTAGCTTGTTTTTGTATTACAGCATGACATTCATATTTGCGCGGGGAATGCACACATTTTGGTAGTAACGTCGTAAAAAAATCATATTACTATTGCATTACGGTCGCGATTTTATTGAAAGTAATGTAAAATATTATCCGACTAAAGCGAAGGCGCGTAATGTGACGTCGCCCGAAGCGCGCGATCACCTCGCTCGCACACGCATGACATCCTTTTCTTCCGTATTCGGCGATCGCGGAACGCGAAGTAATGCATCACAAAAACTCAAAAAGTGATGCTCACCATACTCGCGTAATGGGTAATGCAGTATGACATTGCTAAGTAATATTACTCGAGTGATATCATCGGCATTACTTACACATCTCTAATTATCACATTATCAGTATTATTATAATTTATAGCGTATGTGAATTCATTAACGTTCTCTGATAATAGACTTTTATAAAATCTTAATTTTCGATAGGAAGAAGGTTATTTTCGTCTTTCTTTCATTCAAACGTATGGGGTTCAATTGTTTGCGGAATAGGATATATGTTAAGAATCTTTCGCGCAAAATGAGTATTGACATCGGAGGTAACTACAAAATTATTATAACATATACCCTTATTAATTTAAAATTTAAAGATAAGATTTAACGTTGTAGGCATGAGAATAAGATACAAAGATAAAGATGATACATTTTTAGAGAAGCATTTAGTATCTAAGGAGCCATTTGGTCAATTTAAAGCATGGTTTGATGAAGCTTGCAGTAGAAAAGAAATATTGGAACCCAATGCAATGTGCTTGGCTACTGTCTCGAAGTATGTTATCTTTTGTTATAAATATTTAGAAAAATAATAAACTATTATAAAACATTCAATTATTTTCCCAACAGGGAAGGATACCCTTCAGCAAGGTTTGTTTTGTGTAAAGGCTATGGAAAGGATGGATATAAGTTTTTTACAAACTATGAGAGTAGAAAGGCATTGGAGATGGTACGTGAATATTTTTGTGTATTTATAAATAAATAAAATAGTAATAAATAAATTTATGGACATTGTAGGCTGAGAATCCAAATGTTGCTGCTACCTTCTATTGGGAGGTTTTAAACAGATCTGTACGAATTGAAGGTTTTGTAGAAAAACTTTCTGAAGAAGAATCCATTAGATATTTCCATTCAAGACCAATCCCAAGCCAAATTGCAGCATGTGCAAGTTACCAAAGTATGCCTATAACATCTAGAGACATTTTATGTGAAAGGGAGAAGAAACTTGAAGCTGATTATATGATTCCTGGAAAAGAAGTACCAAAACCTAGTTATTGGTAATATTTTTTATGTATTGGTTACCCATATCAAGCTTGTTTTAGACAGATTTATTCAGGACAAATGATTTGTTCTGAATAAACTTAATTTAAGCTTTTAATCTTCACTACATGAAATAATGAATAATTTTAGGGGAGGATACATTATTCGCCCCAGAGCTATTGAATTTTGGCAAGGACAAAGAGATCGCCTACATGATAGAATTAAATTTAGAAAGCTAAAGGAAGAAGAAATTCCAGATGGAGAACTACTTCACCAAGGGGAGGATGGTTGGGTATATCAGAGATTATCACCTTAAAGACGAAGTGAGGTATTGATGGAACAAATTTTTATTTTGTTATATTTATAAAGGTAAGGTGTAAGGGTCAATGTCTTCCATTTTATTGTTTAATAGACATTTAAGTGTAATAAAACACACAATATGTTATTTTTATAATCTTTTTATTTTGAGAATTTCTCTCTGCACACCACCTTCACTTTTCCAAACAACTTCACTCATTAAAAAACCAGTTTTTTTAATGTATGTTTCAAATTGTCTCAATCCACCACCTACACCAAAATAACATGTTTTTGCTGCTAAATAAATGCTTCCATTGTTGCTTAATCTTTTAAGGAATAAGTCAATAAGTTTTTTGTAGTTATTTTCATAGTAAATAGTTTCTGAAGTCAATATGATATCATAGATATCTGACTCTGGTAATATCTTATCAAAAGAAGCCCAATCTCCTGAATAAAATTTACATTTACTTATTTCTTTTTCTCTATGCTCTTCTTCAAAATTTAGCAGCACACTAGGTATTGTAATACATGAAATTATTTCTCTATTCTGTAATTAAAAGAAAAATTTTCATAAAACCATATTAATAATTAATATTTAACAAATTATCTATTTCATAAGATACATAGGTCACACTAAAAGTTTCCAGAACTGGCCACTTACATAAACAATATTTAAAGACTAATTACAACATTTGCTCTTTGGCTGTAGAATGTAGTTTGTTTCATCTGACTGTCAATATCAAGATTTTGATATTTTAGATTATTTTGTTATCGACCGCATTACTGTATTACATATTTACACATTGATTTTGAGGATAACCATTAACATACATACAAACAGACTAACTGCATGTTATTCATTAACATAATTAAATGTTAATATGTGGTTGGAAACACTTAAACTTAAGTATTGAAGAAGCTTATAAATGACCTAATTTTATACAATTGTACATGTCATGTAATAAATTTATTAGAAACTACGAAAAGAAATGGTACAAATCTCACTTACATAATCTTGAAATGTTACAAATGAACCATTCTGTAGTGCATAGATGCCTAAAATGCCTACTCCACATCCTAAATCTAAAACTTTTACTTCCTTCAACTTGATAGTATTATGATGTTCAACTAAATATTTCACCAAATCATTTGTACATTCCCATACTTTAAGGCCACCTTAAATATAAATTCAACATTAGTACTAACTCTTACATTGTTTACATCTAATATATAAAATTCTCGTGTCACAGTTTTCGTTGCCATACTCCTCCGAAACGGCTTGACCGATTTTGATGAAATTTTTTGTGCTTATCTGGTATCTATGAGAATCGGCCAACATCTATTTTTCATCCCCCTAAGTGTTAGGGGTAGTCCACCCCTAAATTTTTTTTTTATTTTTTAGACAAAATTTTTAATTTATATTTTTTTATGATACAACATACAAAAATACATACAATCCTCAATTTTCACCCCTCTATGCAGACGCAGCAGCTAGTTTTTCAATAAATAGACACCACAATAATCAATATAAATGCAACTCACCTTCATATTTACCAACTACTAGATCACTATGTTCTTTTTCTGCTAATTCAAAGGCATTCATTTTATTATCTCCATTCAAAAACACCTTATCCAAATGATTAACATGTCCTATTTCAACATCATAGCAAGTAAACATTTTGGCATGAACGATTATGTCATCTAGTTGCTTGATTTGTGTATCAGGAATTATCTCTTCACATTCAAACCACTCAATTTTTTCATTCTCTTCTGTAAAGAAGAACATTTTGAATATAAAGAAATTTATGAAAAGTGTGGAGGAGACTTGAACAAGCTGAAATGAATAATTACCAATACATTTTGTTACTAAAATTAATTTCAAGGAATGTACAAATCTTATAATCCAATTCAATTTCAAGTAATTTATAACGTTTCCTCACTTCTTTCATAAGGTGACTAAATCTCTCCAAGAGTTGAAAGTATATAGTTATATAAAGGTTTGAAGCAGTTTTTATTCTTTAAGAGTTGCGGAAGAGAGCGCGGGATATCCTCCGTATTTTCATAAATATTTAAAAGACAGTCTATCAAAACCATTCTGGGTATAGCAAAACTGGGACAATCAAAGAAGATGTGATGTAAAGTTTGAGGGATATTATCATTACAATGAATGCAATTTGGAGATGAAACTATATTAATTCTGTGTAAATGAGCAGCAAATCTACAATGCCCTAAACGCAAACTACAAATGATTGTAAAGAATTTCCTTCCAATGTATTTGAATTTAATAAACCAAGGTTTACTGATTCTATTATTAATTTCAGCATACCTATAATTGTGTCCCAAGCAGATTTAAAATCTTTTGATAATTTGGATTTAACATTTGACAATAGATCAGAATCGGGGGGATTTGTTTTATGGCAACATCAACTGTATTAGAAATTGTTCTGGCAAGAAAGTCTGCGCTGTCATTTCCAAAAACTCCTACATGGGATGGAGTCCAAAACAAAATTATGGACTTTAATTGAGTTAACTGAAAATACTTCTCTCTAATAAGATGAATAATGTAGTTGGATTTAGCATCATATTTAGGATTATCCAAAGCTTCAAGACACTCATACTATCTGTGACTATGATCCATTTATCATAATTATGTTGCTGAATATAATCAAGTGCAGCCAAAATCGCTGAAGATTCTGCTGTAAAAATGCTAGCAGCTTTAGGTAATTTATAGCCCGAACCTATTCTCAATTTTAAATCATAAATTGACATAGCAACTGCTTCATTATTTTTCGCACCATCAGTATACATATGATAATAACCTATGAATTCATTCAATTTATTATAAACATCTTGTTTAAACTTTAACGAGTTGTCAATTATAATATTCATGTAGCAAAATTTGCTAAAGAAGGAGCCACTATAACAGGCCAAAGTGTTACCCTCATAAATGACACAATTAGTTTTCAGTTCTATTGTTTAGGAAGTTGTTGAGCAAGAAATGAGGAAGCATTACGCTCTGAAACATACTGTAACTTGGTGACTAGAGGATGATTAGTTAAAGAAGAAAGTTTCAGAAGGAATTTATGAGCAAGAAATTTAAAACGAAGCAGTAAAGGAGGTATGTTAGCTTCAATCTGCATGGAAATAATGGGGGTTGATATCATAGCACCCATTATAACCCGCAAGCATCTGTTTTGTATCTTATCCAATACATCTACTAAATTCTTTTTATGAGAGTAGCAAAAAAAAACCATATTCAAAATGACTTCTCACTATACTTTTATATAAAATTAGTAGTATTTTGGGATCAGAACCCCAATAAGTATGTGCTAAGGATTTGAGGATATTACATGCTTTTAAAGCTCTATCTGATAATAAATCAACATATTTTTTCCATTTGAAATTATTTTGAAACAGGACTCCTAAAAACTTTGTGGAAGATACTAATGGTATTAGATTGTGATTATAATAAATATTTATAGACCTGGTTAAATTTGCATGAAAAACCATTGTTTTACTCTTTTCATGACTGACGTCCAAGTTAAGAGAATCAAAATAAGATTGCAGACTTAAAAGAGCTGTATTAAGTTTATAATTAATTTCTTGAGAGCTAGAACCTGTACAATAGACTACCAAGTCGTCAGCAAATTGAAGATTGCTGACATCAGAACCAAGAACCATATTCAACTGATGAATATAAAGTATAAACAACATTGGACTTAATATACCTCCCTGACTAACACCTTTATAAGATAGTCGAGGACCAAATAGTTTGTTATTAAATTTTACAAACAGTACTCTACCATGTAGAAAGTTGAAAGTCCAATTTATTAACTTTTCAGGTAAATGCAAAGAATATAAAATTGATAAATAGAGATGATGAGATTGAGCACCAACTATATCTAAAAAAACGGAAGCTACAATTTTATCCTCGTGCAGCGCACCATCAATGTCAAGAAACAAATGGCTTAGACTCTCCTGGGCAGAACGGCCACGACGGAAACCAAATTGATTACTAGGTAAGATGTGATTGTGTTCAATAAAGAATTCCAACCTTTGTTTAATTGTTCAAAAATTTTTCCTACACAAGAGCTTAGAGTAATTGGGCGATAAGAGTCAACAAAATTAGGATCTTTTTCAGATTTAAGGATTGGAACTAAGCAGTCAGTTTTCCATTCTTTTGGTATTCCCACAAGCTATTCAGAATACTCAAAAAAATCTGTAAATTAGCATGATCTAAAAGTTTAAACATTTTATACGTTAAGCCATCAAGTCCACTAGTAGAATTTTTCCTTGATTTCAGGGCAGATTTGAGTTCTACTATGGTGAATTTATTAATCAAGTATGTGTTAGCGGATGTGAAGTTTGAGGAACAAAAGTGAGGAAGATCATTTTCTACAGAATCAGGTGTGTATTTATGCAAAAAGTCATGTAACCATGTACTATTGAGAAATTTTTTGTTAATGTAGTTATATGTCCTATGAAACTTTCTCATTTTTTCTCAAATATGTTTCATGGGGACTAAACTATTTATAGAAGAACAGAATTGTTCCCAGGCTGAGCGACATTCATTTCTAATCGTAATCTTTTTTACAGCTTGAGCTTTTTTGAATGCTATGTAATTTCCTAAAGAAGGAGTTATTTTGAAAGACAAATAAGCTTGTTTGCAATTGTCAACTACTTTAGAGAATTTTTCGTTCCACCAAGGCAGAGGTGAAAATTTTTTCTTTCCTCTACCTTGTTGAAACCTATTGTCTTGATTATTATTTACATTAGTTTTGCAAAATACCGAAGAATCGACTGCAGAATATAAGACTAGACAAAACCTATTATAATTCTCTATAGGATCAGATAAATTTACAAATTTGGATAGCATGTTATTAACATATTGTGTATATTTAGCCCAATCTATCAAATTAGGATTTATACGTTTAGCATCACTACTAGAATTAGCTATAGGAATATAGTTGACTGATGAGAATGAATACTTTGTTACAGTGGGAAGATGATAACTGCCAAGAGGTGATTCACAGACCTGCCATTCGCAAGAAAGGACCAAGGATGACGAGACCATAGTTAGATCAAGACCATTTGGCCTCCAACGATTAGAGCCTATTGTAGTTGGATTTCCGTCGTTCAAGAGCACTAAGTCATTCTCCTCCATAACATCGATGATGTCTCTGGCACGAGAATCAATATTACCACAACCCCACACCGTATGGTGTGCATTAAAGTCACCAGCTACTATCATTGGGCTAGGAACACTTAATTAAGTTATTAAATTTTGCCTTATTAAAGCTTGGAGTAGAATTCGGAGGACTGTAACAACTAACTATAGAAATAAATTTGTTATAGATTTGTATTTGTACTACAATGTTTTGCAAAGAATTGTCAAAAAAAGTTGAAATATTTTGATAGTTCAAACTGTTATGTAAAATTATAGCCACACCATTGTGATCGTTACCACAATCGTTTCTCACAATAGTGTAGCCCCTTATATTAAGTTTCATGTGAGCTTTTAACCAGGTCTCTGATATTAATGCTATATGTATATGATTGTCACTAAGAAATTTTTTAAATAAATTTTTTTTGATGTAATATGCTTTGTGCATTCCATTGCATAATGTTTATTGTTGACTGGGTGGTGAATGTGACGATGATTTGTTTTTATACTGAAATGTGTCCTTAATGACATCAACAATATTTTGTGTGTTGATGGATAAATTTTCAGACTTATTTTGAGAAATAATTTTCAATAAAGATTCAGCTAATAAATTTAAGATGACTTTGTCAGACAATATCACTTTAGAAATATCCTGAGGATCTTTTTTCAAAGCTGGAAAATTGTTTTCATTGAAAAGCACCGCAAAAGGGCGTTGAATAACATTATTTTTGTTTTCTATTATTTTCTTTTGCTTGATCGGACATTTACCAGATATGGCTATGTGATCACCTTTACAGTTCACACAAACAGCCTTCTCTATACTAATCGTGCAGGTTTTGAAACTGTGTCCCTCACCGCACACAGAGCATCTTTAAGAATTTTTACAATATTTAGATAGGTGACCATACCTCAAACACTTAAAGCACTTCTGCTTTACCGGAGGAATGAAAGGCAGCACCGGCAATCTCCACATCTTTAGATATACATAATCTGGCAATGAAGTTGAGCTCGCAAAGGTAATCGCCACTGCTTGCGTGGGATGGAAGTAAATCGTGTTATACGTATATACAATCGTGTTAATCGGGCCTTTTGTGCAAATGCTGGTGGTGAAGTTTTACCTCCTTTATTATATTTAAAAGAAAGAAACTGCGGTCAGATTTGCTTTTTCATTCTTCAGGTTCAAGAATGGCTGTGTCCGAATCTGGATGGATAGATTCTATAATATTTGAGGATTGTTTGCAAAGACATTTTATCCCACACGTTGATAAGTAAGGTGGCAAGAAGGTGCTGTTGTGCGATAATCTCAGCGCCCGCATTTAGTCACTAGTGATTACGATTTTGATCTCATTTGATAGCCAAATAAACGTATAATTTATTACGTTACACTATGTTCCAATTTTATCTTGATATAATAAAAAAATATGAAAAAAATAACTATTTTATTTCTCACCAAATTGGCCCACCTTCATTCAAATGGCAAGACCAAGCTATCTATCACATTTAAAATAGGCCTAAAGGAACTAAACGTTAAAATAAATAAAAAAAATATCACATTTAAACTTTGTACACGTAATTTTTAAATATAATGTTTTATTTAATGAAAATACGTGATATAATTTTACCTAAACCTTAAAATATTCGAATAATGATGGTTTTTACATCCTAAAAAAATTATGTTCAAAGTTACCCTAAACTCACGATAACTTTGAATTTGAGTTTGGGGGAAATTGTGGATAGTTCTGTTGTTTTTTCATAAATTTATTGTGTCGGCAAAATAAACCAACTCAAAAGGACACTATTCATTATTAAAATAAATGTGTAATACATATAAATCAGATTGTAATAGCACAAATTCTGTAAAAAATGTTCAAGGTTACCCAAACTGATGACTGACCCAAACCCTCAGTAGTAGGAATAAAATCAAACAACTACCACTTTCATCATTCGTTACCATCCTTGATAGCGTCACAAGACAATTAAATGCCTTCTATGGATTATGCTTCCTTCGCCAAATGTTTGACAGCGCATATTGCAATTTAAAAAAAGTTTAACGATTGTAGATATATTCTCCTATATAGGTAATTTAAGTAATACACAAGGCTTCATTTATTCACAGATATTTATTGATCGTCCACAATATCACTTCCGTACTTAATATTCAAGACTGCCGTCCTACAATTCATATTCTTCCTTTATACCAGCTCTCATCCTCCTTTTCCCCCGACTTTTTTTCAATCTACCGTCTTAGGAAAAATATAATCAATAGCAACGTATATTTTTCGAATCGTGGAGGAGTTATTAACTAGAGCGGAAGTATTATTTTCATAAAGTATTTGCTGCATTTAATAAAATAATGTTCTATATTAATAATTTACGTAAAATCACATGAAATTTATACACAACCTTACACTATAGAGAAAAATCACTAATGAATTAGTTAACAAATAGAATTCTTCAGTTGCTTCGAGTTTTCGAAAAAAAAAAATTAAATTGTGTAATCTGCTTGTTGATTAATTCATTACAGTCTGTTAAACGTAGGTTGATACGCGGGACATTGTGATTGACATATATAAGTATGAATCGAAGTTCCGTATTTTTTAAACAAAAAATGTATGTAACACAATGTAATGTGGAATATACTTTATTTTGTAATGTCACTTTAGTTTATTAATGTCAATGCCCCGCGTATTTTTCGTATATTTAACAAAATGTAGTGATTTTTCTCTTTCCTTTAAATTTCTTTTTTATTGCAATATGTGCTCATCAATGTGCTGAACATTTTCTTTAAGAATTATTTTAGTTTAAGAAATAACAAAGTAGTCGTACTAGACATGTATGGACTTTAACAAGCGAAGTTTCGAAAGAAAAACTGTATCTAACGGGAAGTCCCCGTAAATAGTTCATTGATAAAGATAATAATTCGTGATAATAATTGTTAATAATGATTCAATGACATTGCCACGTGGTAATCCACTTTGTATATAAAAACCTTGAACCAATGAACCATTTTTAATATTGAATTGATTTTTTTTATTTTATTGCAAATTAAAGAAATTAAAAGCTAACCCAGGGTCATATATAATCTGAGTGGACTTCTGCAGATTAAAAGCAAAAATCTCACTTCGGTCTTGCATTAATATGGACAGATAGAAAAAATGATGGCTTCTGATGGATGGTGACTCAAAGGGTAATTATGTCTGTGTCGTCATAGTTTTTATGTGCAATAGAATAGTATAATTTAATTTTTACGACCGCTGACCTTGGAAATATTAATCATATAATTATGCTTGAATATTTTATAAATTAGGTTTATTGGGTCCCGTTTACCCTTTGGGTACGGAACCCTAAAAATTTGTTTGTTTTTTCTTTTACATATATATGATTATATCTATTTTTTCTTTTACATATATATGATTATATCTATTTTTTCTTTTACATATATATGATTATATCTATTAAAATTTACACGCAGCGGGCGGAGTCTTTTGCTATAATAACAACCAATGCAGAAAGTTGGGGCAAATATCCCTTTATGGCCAACCGCTCCCCTGGGAGAAAAAGGTCAAATACTTAAGAGTCACTTTACATTTATATTTTATATAATATAAAAATTTTAGAGCTTTCAGTTCAAAATAGTATTAAGATTTTTGCACCACAATGTATATCAATAATTTCATTTTCAAATACTTAGGAGTCACTTTCGACTCGCGTATGTCATTTACTACGCACATTAATAACGTTCGTAACAGAGCCGCGTTCGTCTCCAGCCAGCTGGAGACAACAATTACACAATTTAACTGACGCTAAAAGTAAAATGCCCTTAAGGCACAAATTATTATTATATCAGACTGCGTACGACTTATTATGTCCTACGCATGCATGACCTACAAGTTACAAATAGTACAAAATAGTTCATCCGCCGCGCAACCGGTGCGCTGTGGTATCAACGCAACGTCGAGCTGCACAGAGATTGCAGACTCCCTACGATTCGCGAATCATTTAAAGACCTGACCAAACGGTTCTTCGATAGAGCCGTACATCATCCCAACCCTCTGGTGATAAGCGCAGCAAATTACCAACCCGACACAAACGCGAATGTCTACAAGCATCGCCCGCAAAACGTCCTCATTGACCCGATCCAGAAAGGGGACTTAGATACGTCGGACCCACCGCCGGCGGCCCGTACACTAGATGGATTGCTAAAAATGCAATAAAAAATTAGATAGATGTCGAGATTTTTAGATGGTGAGGTTATGGACTACTTAGCTTGATTGGTAAAATGTCTCGGCGCGTTACCCAGAAGACGCAGCTTTGAAAGTCTCGCAGTGTCGAAAAATCAATATTTTTTTCTAAAAAATAATCTCTATTGTTAGTTACTTACTCTAACTTTAACAATACATTTTAGTCGTGAACATTCTAGTGTTTTTTGGGTTTCGTTCCTCAAAAGGTAAAAAAAAACTCCATCTGGCCTTTCTTGTGTGTTATAAACGGTCTCAGGAACGGGTGAACTTGTCAGACGGACCACTTGATCCTGAGAAAATCGGTGGTGATTATTTACCAATTTTATTATGACGGTATAATGGGTAGATACGAAACCCTCGGTGCACGAGTTCGACTCGCACTTGATCGATTGTTTGCATGTTGTGTATTACTTTAAACGATTTTTTTGAGTGTCACATGCTTCACAATGCACAGAACCTGTAGTAACGGTAGGTACGTTTGGGCTGATGTATATCTAAATCATAAGTTCACATCTCGCACCTCAGCTTATGTCATGACGGTCTACCTGTTATAATACTTTAAGTTAACCGCTAGAAAGCCAGTGATCTCGAAACAATAGCTTTACACCTGTTAGTAACTTTAACAGAAGATGTGTTTTGTGTCCTATAAAATTATCCTGATTCCATAAAAAAATTATTTACTGTTTAAAATTATAAAAATAAATTGTCATAATAGTTAAAATACTTATATGAAAAGTACCACTTTAATTGTATAATAAAGAAAAAATCATGAAATATTTTCATTATTTAAGATAGCATATTGACGTAAAAACTTTTTATCAATAAAACCTTTAAATTATGATTTAAGATTTTAAAAGACATGTCTTAAAAAAAATTTAAAGTATGTAAACAATGTTATCGCCGGTTGTTGCGCTTAATTTACTTGCCTTATTAGAATGGAAAATAATAGTAGAATACAAAAAATATTGAATGTAGTAAGATCTTATTTTATTTTACTATTATAGATAAAGAACGTTTGAATCAACTGTGAACGCATCCGAACAATATACTTATTCATTCATTCAAGCGCACATCGAATTGTAGAAAAGTAAAGAAGTTGTGTGAATTTCTATTAATTATCTTAATTATCTTTCTATCTTAGGGATTCTAATAGATTTGATCCCGATAAATATACACTAAAATAATGACAGACGTTACGAAAAAGGTAAACGGCATATTTTATTGTTAATTTCCTTTATTTTTGACACGAGTAGTGAACAGTGAAGTGTGCGAGCAGGCAGGCATTCTTTGTGCTAAAGTACGCCTCAAATCAGTTCGAATTTACCGTCTCTTGAAGCCTCTTATACGTCTTGTTATTTTAAACATATTTTTGCGGTGATTAAATATTTTTGCTAAAGTCAACATAACCTCAATCGTACGGCCATGGGTATCGGCGAAGCTAGCGTTGTACGTGACGTTTACTACTTAATAGTAATTTTATTGTTAATTTATATGACATATTATGGAATTTTGTTTTTCCAGGTTCAGGATTATAAAGACTCCTTGAAGCAAAAAGCTGAACACTTAATAATTAAAGAATTTCCTGAGAAAATAGTTAAATTAAATGAGTTGTTGGAAACGTCAAACTTTCAAAATCGTGATTTAGCAGATGTCCATCAGGTAATGGCCACTCAACATTTAATATGAATTACTGTGCGTTTTATTGTAAGAATTCAATACTTAGCGCAGAACCTAATAAGTTTTTATTATCTTTTTACCCGTCTATTATCTTGTGTTAATTTTATGAGCATTGTTTTATTTTTATTTCAAAACTGGAGTAGAGAGAAATACTTAAGAGTTCAAGGAGACGAAAAATTATAATATTTTGTTATATTTTAGGTACAAATTTCCATAAGTTTCTGGGTGTTTTCAACCAAACAAAAATTGTATTCGGTTAAGAAAAATCAATAATGAAATAATCAAAAAGAAGCAGGATTTGACGAATTCACACACTTTTCCAAATTATAACCTTAAGGAATCTAATGCCATATTTTATTTTGCTTGTTTAAACTAAAATGGTATTTTTAATTTTTAAAACTATTTTTAGGTTCAGTCCTTTATTTCGAAAAACGTGTATTTAAAGACTTTTAAGAAATTTGAGACCTAAAATGTACAGTTGATATTTTAGAAAATTACCATGACCATATACAGTATGAAAGTTTTCATAAAAAATTTTCCCCAACTTTTTATAATCACATTTTCAGGACTTAAACATTCCAGTACCACCACCCATTTCTACCTTAAATGAACCAAATGCAAAACGCCAGAGAGTGGATTCATCAGAAGCCTCCAGCAACACAACTATAGATGGGACACGAGTTTATGCCTTGCCCAATGGGACTGTACCATGTAATAAACCACTTAGTGATCTTATTCATCTTGTTAAACCTCACATTAGAGAGCTGGTTGAAGACTCCAATTTGGTAAATTTTTAATCACTATTTGTTATAACACGGGAATTACAGGACAAAAAAAATGTAAAAAAAACCTGTTGTTCAGAATCTACTGTCATAGCATGTCATATTTTATTAATTGAAACGGGAATTTGATAATTATTTTAGTGGTAAAAAGTAAATAAAATGCAGTCTGATTTATAATAAGGTTTATTGTTTAGTTTAGTTGGGTTATTATGACTTGATTAAGAGAAATGTTGAACCATGCATGCCCCAACCTTTAACTGCAGGTTGTGTTTTTCTACAGGCTTCACACTGCAATTATCATATCCTATTAGGTAATATCTGATAATTTTATTCTTCAACCATTTGGTGCTTAAATATTTATTTGGCTAAACTAATAAGCACCTATAAATACATTTATACAATGGAAAAATGTCACTAATGAAATAATAATTGAAAATCTATGAAAACTGATACATTAAAAGAAAATGGAAATCAATTTTACTAATTTAAAAAGCCATAACTTTTTTAGTATCATCAAAGATTGAAATTTATTATTATAAACTGAGATAAATTAAGTAAAAACCATAAATCCTTACTAATATTATAAAGGCGAAAGTTTGTATATATGGATGGATGTTTGTTACTCTTTCACGCAAATACTACTGAATGGATTTTAATGAAACTTTAAAATAATATAGCTTATAGGTCAGAATAAGACATAGGCTATGTACATATTTTATGTATATCTGTCTTTCTGTCTGAATGTTACACCTTCAGCCTATTTTACGCAGACGTAGTTGCGGGCAGCAGCTAGTAAATAATCCCCATTTATTGTTCTGATATTTCAGTTTATATTTAATTTTAATTTGCATAAAATATAATAATGGAGTATTTAAATTAATAATTATATATAGAGTAATTAAATATAATAATGGAAAATTTGGTAGTACATTTGGAACACTTGTGGGTCAAGTTAAAATCTTTTGCAAAGTGGACTATTATCAACTGTTATCTTATAATGCCTTCAAACTTAAAATTTAATTCAAATTTCAGCTAAAAATGTGGATTTCATTTATGATTCCTAAAATTGAAGATGGAAACAACTTTGGTGTATCAATACAAGAGGACACACTTGCTGAGATTCAGTCTGTAGAATCGGAAGCTGCTGCATTTTTTGATCAAATCTCACGATATTTTATTTCAAGGGCAAAAATTGTATCAAAAGTTGCAAAATACCCGCATATTGATGACTACAGAAGAGCTGTGAGAGTGAGTTATTGTAGAGCTTTCTATTTCCATATATCAAATCATTAAAAGATTTAGTTGTATTTTAGCCATTGTACATAATTTTAATAACCAAGGTTGGGATTGAATTTATGCAATATAAACTTATATTTCTCTAAAAGAACAGAGGTTAACTTAACAGCTTGGAGAATTAGTATGATGAAGTGGCACCATTGACATTTTTTGCACAATTGTTTGAGGGGTCCTTCAATTTCTTCAAATAGTTGTTAAAGGGTTCTTCAAGCTTAAACCCTTAACCAATGGAAAGGAAAGGTTTCCAGTATGATTATAAGTTTGAAAACCTGAGTAACCCAACCCGCTAATCGTAGGTGCCGCCACCTACAGACCCATGCCGCTAGGTATGTTCCGCCGCAATCACCATAGACCGCGACACGTTCTCGACTTCCCTGATGATGAGTAGACTATCGCCATCGAAAGGATTAAAAAACTACGCAAACACACCAATACACATCGCATTTGCCGGCGAGTGCGGCAAACATATATTAGGTTCCGCCACGTATCTGGAAGGTTTTCCCCTATTAATGATAGAAGCGTTGCTGGAGTTTCTTCCGCCACTTCTTCTCCCAGCGCCAACGCTCTCCGAAGTGGTAGTAATGTTAGCTCTAGTAATTCTCCCAGTCAGATAACAGCTACCGATCGAGCCCAGGTCCGGCCCTCTCGGGCACCCTCGAATCGGAATGCTAAACGCGTGTTGAGTGACAGCCCAAGCCGAGGTCCCCCTTGGGGACCCTTGAGCCTGATCACTCCATGGAGCGTCCGCCAAAGCGCCCTAAGAGCTTGGCGGCCTCCCAAACCGGTGAAATTAATAGCGTGACGGCCCGAGCCGAGGCTCCCTCGGGAGCCCTCGAGCTTAGTCACCATAACGCGTAATAATAATAATATGCGAGGTTCAGGCTAGGCGCCTCGAGCGCCCGGCCACCTCAAGTCCGTCGGATCTGTAAAGGCCCCTAAGGCCAACAGTGGCTCATCCAGCCCAAAAAAAAAACCTGAGTAAATGTGAGGGAAGCTGATGGATTGTTGATGATCATGATTTGTGACAGTGGGGAGTCCTGTATTCTGTAGTGTACCTGAACAGGCTAAAACGATGATGATGATTTCTATATTTCTAACTTAATTATGGATATTTTATCTGCCAATGTCTGTGCAATTTAGCAATTACTTTTAGGCATCATTTCAAAATAAATTTCTTCATTATGAGCATGTGATAAATCGGCACGTAAAATTAAGTGTGAAGGAAAACATTGTGAGGAAACCCGCATATTTTAAAATGTAAACATAAAAAAAATATTTCAAAACTTTGTAAATTCCGCCAATCCGCAATCCACACACAGCCTCATGGTGAACTATGCTCTAATTCCCTCTGTACAGAGGATGTCTGTGCCCAGCAGTGGGACATTTAATGGCTATACTTTTATTTTCTTCATTATGGTTATGAATACATTACAAACACATATGCTATATGATCTCAGAGAATAGATTAAACAATAATGACTTACCTGAGTAATTTTCATTTCAGGAACTAGATGAAAAAGAATACCTATCACTGTGGTTGGTTATGTGTGAAATCCGTAATCGTTACTGCTCTTTGCATGATATTGTCATCAAGAACTTGGAGAAAATCAAGAAACCCCGCTCATCTAATGCTGATTCACTATATTAGTTCATAAATCTCAATTAGACATTTGGAACCTCAAGGATTCCTTGTAATTTAAGTGTAATAATAAAAACAGTCTTAATTATTTTGTTCTCACTAGGCCATGTTGTATATAATATTGCCATGGAGTATTCAACATTTAAAATTGTCAGGCACAAGGTGTGTAATGTGGCACTAATTTGATACTTTTTGGCTAAGAACATCACCCTTTATTTCAATAGAATACATTTTGAACATGTCATATTCATTTTCTAGCTAGTTTAAAGATGGTGGCAATTCTGTTGGTGACAATCCTAAAAAAAAAACCAATTAAGTATAATGTAGTCATAATATATTGAGGCTGTTTAATTTTTTTAAATATTCAAACAATCAACTATACAAAGCTTATATGTGTTGAAAATTAAATGTACTGTTCAGTATTTTTAAAAATTGATTAGAGTAAAAATTTAATACAATTTCTAATTTGACAAAGCAATATATCATAAAACTATAATATAGTGATTTGTTTTTTTTTTGGATTTTCACCAGTCATCACAGAACATGTTTCATTTGAGATCTTATTTTAAGCGCAACATAGAATGATAATAACCTATATATCTGTAAGATAAATAGATTAATTTAATGCACTTTGGAAAATTTTAGTTTTAAGTGCCTGATTGATAGTAAGAGTTCATAACTGAGATGAAAAATATTGTATTCAATCCGTGTACTGTTGCATCAATTGGCTGTTGTTGGCGAATTTGACTAAAAATTACCCAATTTATTAAAAATAAATACATTTGTATAAATGTCATTTGTTTTTTTTTTCTTTCACTAATGCCAATTTTCTTGCAAAACCTAAACATTGTACGATAGACCAAGAGCTTTCACATGGTTATGTGTTGTGGGTGATCAGGGTGGGGGATTTGAATATAAGCTGGTGTGAACCCAGGCACGGGGGCAACATGGTTTGATGAGGTCTGGTACAGTTCGCAGGGTACATGTATATTCCATTAGAGTCCCCAAACCTTTCCAACAACTATATGCTATATGTTGCCACCGAATGCGTTTTAGTTATGACAATAATCACCCAAACCTATCTTCCCCAGAAGGGTGGGTTTCTCTTAAAGCTTCCCCTCCATCTGAACGAACCACCAAAAAGGATATAAATTAATAATTTTATACATAACCCTCAGACACACCAATTTTTACTTTATAAAATTAGGAAAACTGGCCAAGTAATATTATGTCAATGACATTTGTAAATGTTTAAAACAATAACGAAAGTGACATAATTATTTTTGTTAAAGTTCACGAGCATCTTTTAGAACATTCGTATATCGTAAATATTTTGATATAATAGTTTTGTCTCTTTATGTTGTTTAATTTTTGAGGATCATGATGACGAGGGATTTACACGATGGCAACTTTGGTGATAGTGAACGGAACAGATCTGAATACAATTTGAGATATAACAGGCCGAACCATATTTTCAACGAGGCTGGGGAAAATGTTCAATGTCACAGTGACTCGGAGTCTTTGGGGTCTAGGAAGAGCAAGACTCGTTACGTGAACCCAGCGATTTATATAGAGACAGTTGAGGCTTCACATTCCGTGACGTCATTGCGGACCGACTTGTCCTGCGTGGAGGACTTAACGCCCCATCCGCACGGTACATATAGAAGCAACTCGACTCCCTTTCTGACGGGACGAATATCCAATGCCTCATCCGGTAGTGTGAAGAGGAAGTCGTGCCGTTTGGCAGAGCATGAATGTCAGGCGGATGACGAGGAGACGCCGCGGCTCGATCGCACTTATCGCGAAGATGGCCCAGACACGTTTCGCCTCTCGGTCGCCTCTTTGTCGACCACCACGACAACGAAAGAGGAACGCGAACGTCACGAGAAGAAGAGGCAAGAGGCTTTTAAGCAGTGGCTGGAGAGAAAAGAGCAAGAGGTGATTTATTTTGACTACTTTTCAAGTGTAGGCAAGTTAGCAAAAGGGCAAGCGGATACCCCTGGTGGCAAGTGGTCACAGTACTCTATTAACTTTGGCTTCACCAGAGTGGCAGATGCCTTGAACGGTGGGCGGAACATTGGGAGAAACGTACTTTTAGTATAAATATCACACCTTACTTTTGTAGGGCCTTTCGTAGCTTCCATCGATCAATGAATCCGTTATTCATGACGGACATGTCTAAATTTCATTACAATATCCCCTGTGTCAGGTATGTATTGCAAAATCTAATCACAATGTTCTTCCAAATGTCATATATCTAAGCACTAATTTCAGTCTCTGTATGTAAATTTTTAAAATTTTGCTATTTTGGAAACTGTGATTGTATCAAATATATTTTTTTCTTATTAGAAAAGAGAAAAGCGTCGTATGCAGGAGACAAAGAGACAAACAGTGCAAACAACCACTCCAGAACAGCGTGAAGAATCTTTTCGCCGCTGGACGGAGCGAAAACGTTTGCAGATGGAACGTCGCCGCGCTGAGGAAATTATGCGTCGTTTCCGTCAGAACGAGCATTTGGAGCGCGAGAAAGAAAAGAAGGAGAGGGAGAAACAAGAGAAGTTAGCGGAATGGATTCGTAAGAAAGAAGAAGAAATGAAAGGTGGGATGTTTGAAAAAAGTAGGACTGTCATTTCCTTATTTATATTTTTTATTAATTTTGTGTCATAATAAAGCAAGTAGAACTCTGTCGGATTTACCTACTTCGAAGCACAGACAATTATTAAAACTAAATTGAAGTGGGGATTACAGTTAAATATTTGACAATAAGTTTTGAAAATATTAGGGATACTAAATATAAAAATAAATGTGTCGTAAAGTTGAAAGGAAATTTAAATTGTAACTTGCTCACTACTATTATCAATTTGAACGCATTCAAAATCAATATCAAAATCATTTATTCATTGACATAAGAAAAATAAATACATTTCATTTATCGATAGTCATTTTTTTTAATCTACCACTGTTCCGTAATGAGGTTCCTCTAACGAAGAAGAAACAGGCGAAAGAAACTTCGTAGGTATCCTCTTTTTTTTCTCAACAAAATTACAATAAAAATATTAAATTTTTCTTTAAGAAATAGCTTGGGAGCGATCAACTATTTCCCAGGGGTTATTGTGGTTAATGTTAATTCATTTATATTATCATAACCCTTTTTATAAAGCTTTTCTTTAATAATTTTCTTAAACCTGTTGTTATCTTATGGCCAGCTATGAAAACTCGCGAGGAGAGACGGGCGGCGCGCGCAGCTATAGAGGAACAGCGGAGACGCGCCGACGGCGAGCGCGCCTACCGCGATTGGCTGCGCACTAGCAAGAACAAACCACTGCCGGTGCCGCTGAACCAAGGAGAACTCAGTGAGCCATTTAAATTGTTTCTTTTTGGAACCACCTCCTACTGTAGGACAAGGTGTACTGTGCTGCAGAGGCGTTCAAAATATGTCTATCAAAGTCCAGAAGACAACGTGAACATATCTTTATGCAATACTAGCTGCTGCCCGCGACTACGCCTGCGTATGTATAATTTATATACATAAAAATATGTATATATGTAAATTATAGCCTATGTGTTATTCTAAATGTATAAGCTATATTATTGTAAAGTTTCATAAAAATCCATTCAGTAGTATTTGCGTGAAAGAGTAACAAACATCCATCCATACATACAAACTTTCGCGTTTATAATATTAGTAAGGATAGGGCTTGTTTTAATCTCTCATTACTGAATTAGTGCTGTCCAGAGAAGAACCGCCAAGAACCTCTGCGGTCTTGTTACCTTTTCTTTTTGCATCATCACCATCGTTAGAGTCCACTGCTGAACATAGGCCCGCCCAGACTGCCTCTAAGCACGATCCTGACCTATCTGCATCCATCGACTTCCCGTGCATTTGCATAGGTCGACACTACATCTAGTGGGGGGTCGACCTATTCTGCGATTTATTTTTAATTATATAAAATTTAAGTATAAAATCAGCAGCAGCCAAGTGGACTAGCAAGTGCAAAGAAAAAATATTTTTTTTACATATTGTAATATCCTTTCCAGCATACAAACAATTTCGAATATAGTTTTACAAATAACTTCGAACGAGAGATGTCGCCATTGCTTTTTTAGAAATTTAAAGTTTTTTATAGTGCTAATCTCTGCACTTAAGATTAAACATTTAAAACTTTTAGAAAAAGTACGAAAAGATTGTCGCCGCTGTGGGAATCGAACCCACGTCTTCGGCATTCGCGGCCTGACGCTTTAGCCATTAAGTTAATCTGTAATAGATGCGCCAAACATTGCTTCAGATGCTAAATAACTATGTAGATAAAAGACGTTAAGATTTTCGTCGGTGTGGCAATCAGCCGTTTAGCTTAGTGGCTAAAGCGTCAGGCCGCGAATGCCGAAGACGTGGGTTCCGATAATTCGATTGAAAATTATTCTGCTTTCACTTTCAAGGTATGCGCGGGTCGGTGTCACAGATGTACATAAACCCGGTACCATGGAAATCAGAACTATGAAATTATGAAGAACTGGATTTAGGAATTTTAACCTAGATTTTTTTGTACTTTTTTCGTGATTTATGCATCTATCAAAATCGTCACTATACAATGAGTCTTTAGTTATAAACCTTGCGATACTTTAAACTTTGTTGGATTTTCGGAAGAATTTTATTGTGATTGTTAATTTTTTAATCGATCTTTGCTTAAAATATGGCAAAATAAAACAAGTTCTTAACGTGATTATGTATTTCATACCTAATACCTACAAAAAGGGTCCCTAAAAGTACAGTAAAAATAAAATTAATTTAGAAAAATCTTACAAAGGTATCATCATTGCACAATACATATATTAGATGTTTTAATTGCGTTTCGTTTCAAATAAACTCTTTTCATTGCTATAAGCGTTGGACTCGGCGTTTTTGCCATTCTCTAGCTTATTTCCCATTAGTAGTTGGTCTCAAAAGGTCCAATGCAAACGGTGCGTCTTAAGTTAAAAAAGTGCTTTTTATATTAATATAATTATATACAATTAATAAATCTACAAAACTTAATAATTAACAATAATAAACACGGTGCGTTGAAAAGATATATCGGGAGCATTCCCCTTCTCGTTTTATTTTGTTTGAAAATACTTAGATTTCAAGCATAATATATTTTCCAAGATTCGGATCGCGTCAAAGTGATGCATGTTCTTATTATTCTATTCCTACCTCTCCTACTCGAAGAATTATGCTGTAGTTATACTACATTGTTCTTAAATAATATGTATTATTTATTATGTGACATCATGTTCTTTTAATATACTCGTTTAAAATTTTTAAGATAAGGCAGATTGTGCATATAAACTTTGCATGATGATGTGTCTTCAGCTAAATGTTATTAGTCAATCCTTTTATCTGGTATCCTTATTTCTACTATGATATGCCAGGCGAAGGAATTCTTAATACAAGACCCGTTTTAATTTGTCAATTAAAGCCTGCACAAAATCTGTCTGAATGGCCCTTCTCAGTCAGGAATTTAGTTTTTATATACGTGGGAATTAGCATAAAATGAACCAATAGATATTTTTGTCAAATGTCTAAAGGGTTTGTATGAAAAAGTGTCTTGAGAGACACCAAGAGCCAATATAAAAGTTTTCTAAATGAGTAACCTCATATTAATATTCCTTCTTTTATGCTAGTTAGAAAATAGTAAATCAATATGCTTCTTCCTCTTCCTTCAGCCGCAGTATATCGGACTTGTTCATGAAGTAATACGAAGGTTGGCGCCCTTTTAGATCTTTCAGGACTCTCTTGGAGCCGGCACGGATGAGCACTCTACTCAAAGACTCAATTTTGTCTACCCCCATTGCATAATGTAGAGGTGTACGTTCCAACTGAAAAAAAAAGGTTAATTCATTAATAAAAAAATTTAGAAAAATGGACGAAAAGTTTTTCGCTACTGCGATGATTTGAACCTGCGTCCTCTGCGTTGAACTCCCGACGCTCTAGCCACTGATCGAAAAGGTATACGTTCTCACTGACGTATATATCGATTTAATTATCTACTTTGTTTTTATTGCATTTTTAGTGCTTGGCGCCATAATTTTCAATAACAAAGGTGACGTCTTTAGTTTCCAAATATCTTGAATGTAAAATGTCATATGAAAAAGGTCGTTTGTTGTAAAGGAAACACACTGGATGGCGCCAACCATTGCTCATTATTAATCATATTTTATTATTGTTATTTCCCTTGTATTGTGTGTTTTGTACCCGTGACCGCCAAATCATGATATAGCGGCATACAAGTGACGACCAAAACATCAATATAAAATTAAAGAACATTCTGTCTGATCAACAAAGTATTAAGAACGTACAAACGTAAGAACCGTTCAATTGTGAGGCAACTTACGTTGTCGCCAATCCGCAACAGCTCCGGGCAGGATTCCGCTAAATAGGCGACAATGTCCTCTTGCTGAGCGAGCACTGCCACATGCAGAGCTGTCCTGCCGAAAGAGTTGTGCGAGCGTGCGAGGGTACGGCCACCCTCGGCAGCTACCGTCTCCCGTACACTGGCTAGGTCACCCTGCCTTACTGCAGCGTGGAGGGATTCTCGCGACTCCTGAATGTCATAGGTCATGGCAACATTATATATTGATATAGATTAGGTGTGAATATGGTAACACAGATTGAAAATGGCTCGGAATATGGAATATCATCCTGTAATAAATACATAAATAAATAGTTCTCTTAGTAAATTACAGTATTTAATAAAAGCTCCCGAACACTAGAACATCGTCATACTGAATAGGCATGCTTGTAGCACATAGCACACTGCTTTTCCTTTTTTTTTTCGTTTCCGTTGGGACGTTGGTATAATAAGTATTTAAGTGTTTTAAATACTTATTATACCAACTAAAACTATATTATAGAAAAACGGTACATTTTTCTATAATATAGTTTTTGAGTTTTGAAGACACAAGCACACGGGAGCTAAATTTTTATATATATAAAAGAAAATGTATTTAAAGATGTTTATTATACTCCTATTGTAATGCTAAATTGCAAATAAATATAAGTAATAAAAATGAAAGAAGTAGAAGTTTTTGGAGTGTGTATAAGTGCGCTAATCTATACTCTATTTTTTTTAATTTGTCTGTTCCAGCTAATCTTTGGCTGCACTGATTTTGACGGGACTTTCACTAGCACATAGCTTACATCAGCTATAGGGAGTAACTTAAGCTGCTGTTATTTTAGAAATTTATTCATTTTAAATTCCACGTGGATGAAGTCGCGGGCACAAACAGTAGAGCAATAAATTTACAGCCTACTTCCGAATCGAATGAGCTATCGCTTATATTTTTAGGACCTTTATCTCTATTTTTCACGTTTTTGACTAGATAGGGTAGTGATATAATCACGACTTTTTTTTTAGTAATAGCTTGTTTAAAATCTGAGATATACTGTCGGTTAACTTTTGGTCTGTTGACACACTAAATCGCAACTCTCGTTCCTCCAATATCAGTTATTAAATAAGTTACCTCAAAAGCTGGTATTGACGCTAGAAGATTTCTCATTTCCGTGTCACCTCGATGTGTAACTACTTCCGTTATGGACTTTCCTTCTGAGTCCACGATGTCTAATATGTGGTCGTAGCCTTGTAACAGTAATTCCATTATTTTCTCACTGTTCCCTATAAATAATTAGCCGTGTAAAAATTTATACGTAGCGCTTGTTAAAATTTGGCAGCATTAAATTAAAACGCAATGTTAAGAAAAAAAATTCCGTTTGTAATAAAAGCATTCAAGTTTATCATTAGAAAGATGTTTAATGTAGCATTAACCTCTGGCAGCCAAATGTAAGACCCATTTATCAATTTCGACCGTGTTTTCTGGCACGTTGGCTTGGATGGACACGTCTCTCGCTGTCCTGTAGAGCTCGTCACGATATCCTAAACTCACGTCGGATTCTTGCAGCAGTTGGAATAATGCGTTGTTGGCGTGCGTGCGTGCCGCGGCGAAATGCAGCATAGACTGTCCATGTTCGTCCTGATGATTAAATTCATTTTAAAGTAGGTTCATTTTTGAATTACTTTTACTCGAATTTTGTCAATATGTTCAAGAAACAGAGTAATTATATTTAAATAATTGAGCAATGAAAGTACCTAAAATTTTAGTAATAAATCGGGTTGACGCGATATGGAAGACTTCACAAGACATCAACAAGACATACATACTATAGTTAATATGACGTATTGTTTGTGTAATTCAACTAGGCGTCTTTGTATAATAGAGTAAATAGAAATATTATTAAAGAAGCTTCTGTGTTTAAACAATGTTTCTTGAAAGTTTAAAGGTTCTTTTGAAATCAATGAAGTAGGTACTATCAGAAAAAGTTAGTTTTGCAACCAATGGGAGTAAAGAAATAAACGCATCTTAAGAAGAAAGTTCATGGACACCTAAATACGACCCGTATGCTGCTTATTAGTATTACTGCTGCTCATGAAAGCAGGAAAATACCAAAGAGGGTGAGGTTTACCTGATACTAAGTAATTAGCATATCTCTACCTCATATTCAAATGCTTATATACTCAATAATTAATAAACTAACTCAACTGTGGTAAGGCCACACCAGTCTTCGCTGTAGCACGAATAGGCAGGTCTGTCCGGGTAAGTACCACGACCTCTAGAAGGTCGGCGTGAAATGGAAGTGTTATACTGCTGCTTTCAGTCCGGTGAGCGAGGTAGCCGGGGCCCACTTTATTAAAAAGCGGCAACGCTTCGGCCACCCTACGGGTGTTGCACGTGTCAATGTGAGGTAGCTATCACTTTAAATCTGGAGAATCAGCTCTATTGCCACCTAAGCACGTAAAAAAATGACAAATATTTGCATAAGAAATGTGAGAACGCGTACCCTGTTGACGCTGCTATAAGCGTTCTCCGGGGCATCAGGGCTGACTTCGGTTTTAGGGTCCAGGGTGATGACGTCGATCGGCCCCTGGTGACGAACGGCCGTTTTTGCTGCACTCCTCACTGCTGGTGGCGTCTCCATCTGCTCTAATGGAGGCGGTTGGTCGTTTTTCACTTCAGGTTCTTGGCTCGTTACTATCGTTCTCGATTCCTGTCAGCATTTTATATAAATATAAATATTTTGGCACACATTTTTACACAACATTCCTAAGGGTACTAGATAACTGATAAACATACTTTTTTAAATAAATACATATTATACATATATAAACATCCAGACACTAAAAAACACTATGTTCATCACACAATATTTTTCCAGTAGTGGGGATCGAACCCACACCCTCTGGCGCAGGAGGCAGTTACACTGCCTACTACGCCATTCGGGTCGTGGATGGATTCGGTTGTATGATTGTTACAACTTTTTGTAACCTTAATTTACGCTATCAAAAGCAAAATATCTTATGAATACTGCGTTTCATTTAATTATGCTATTACATGCTCTTAAATTGTAAAAAAATATTCTTTTCTAACAAAATTTCGAAATCCTGAGGATAATGCTAACCTAAATTAACCAAAATTATTTGTTTTTATGATCGTTTTGTTTTTTCGAAAGAGTATAAAGCACCTATAGTTTGATACATAATTATGCGAACAAATTTAATGTTTGTTATTAAATAAGTTGTAAACTTTTTCCCTGCCACAATAGTACTAGATATAGGTAAAAAAGTAAAATAAAGTATCAGCCTATACATGTCCTACTGTTGGGCAAAGGCCTCTTCTGTACAGAGGGTATCTGGGCATAGTCCACCACGCGGCCCCACTGCGGATTGGCGGACTTCACATATCTTTGAAATATTTTTTTTGTTTTTTTTTCGAAAATATGCAGGTTTTCCTTCACCACTGAGCACGCGATAATTCAGCACTTAAAGTTAACAATTTCATTTGTTGTTGCCCGAGTATATCAAATTAACACTGACACTGAGCTATCATACTTAACATAAAGCGTATTTGAAATAATTTTATATCGATTGTCTAGATATTTTCCTCACGATTTCTCTCACTAACCTAAATTGAAGTTTAAATATCTAATCCATTTATTAATTTTATTGTTGCTGGTATCGGTCTTTGAAATCAGGTTGATCAAGTATTGGTACTAAATTAAAAGCGAGCACCTGCCAGCTAGCCATAACAATATTTGAAAATGTAATTCAATTTAGGTTTGATTATACGAAACCGTTGGACGATTCTGGTATTCGGTTCAAAATAATTATTAAGAATCCAAAAAATTGTTCCATATGTACAATGTTTTATATTTCATAGGAAATTACCTTTACAAGTTCATATAGTTACGTAATTTATTTCATTTTTAAGCGATACTCTCTTAATGTTGTGGTACAATAATTTCATCATGAAAATAAAGAATAAAAAAACAATTTTATTTCCTTTTAAATATTAAGTAATATCATCATTAGAATTTCTCCATACCTGCGTGTTCAAGCGAGGTTTTTCGTGTTCGGGAAAATTGTGTAGAAAACTGGCAAGGAACGCGACCGGATCTTTAGGCTTTACGTTAGCCACTTCGGTTAATCCTTTGATTAAAGGATCGCCGAGAGCTGTAAAAGCATTATCCGCATAAGCGCCCGCATCTTCGAGAGGTCTTTTAACATCCATATTTTTTTAAACAAATGTTGAAAATGAAAAAAAGTATCGCTTACACTTAGCAAGGTATCTGCCCTCTTCCGTTTGAAAAGTGGGAATGTCCATATGGCCGTTAGCAGCGTGACTCTTGCCTGAAACATATTTATTATTCACTAACGTCCTTCACTATCGTGCGCTAACTACTTTTAACATCTGTATTTATACATGAAAAGACACAGCTGTGTTAGTGGTGTTGGAGTCTACGTTTCAGTGACGTTAGTATATGTGTCGCTCTATTACCTCACTTTACATAATTTATACTCTATTGATCGATTGTTACTTTGAATTTGAAAACATATCAAGGGAATGGTGAATTTTGTCATTTTACAGTGAGGTCGGTGATTAGTCACAACAGCCCTAAAAACAAAGTGTATTAAACAAGCCGTGGACGTTTTTGGGAATTACAATTCTGTTCAAATATTTACTCTAGATTCGATTGTAAATATAGTAGTGAGTGATCATTGTGTTCAAAAACAACGGAACATTGATTATGGTTTTGCAGCTAATATGAGTTTCTTTAAATTTATTTTTTAGCGACGCTCTTCCCCACACGTTTAATCTTCAGTTTCTTCAAAATTCAAATAATTTGTTTGGTGGTAGCATCACTTCCTTACGAGTCCATCCAGTTCTATAGAATAGTACAATGAAGTTGATTTCTTAGTTACCGGACCATTTGTTCAAATATGTAAATTATCAAGAAGCTATTTCGTAATTCGTACTCTGGCAATATATTTATAAATAGGAGTGGTGGATAGTGTTGGAAAGACAATGGTGGTTGATTGATAATGTAAAACATATTAGCTTGTAAAAGTGTTAGCTTGTAAAATTTAGAATTACCAAGTGTCAAGCGTGTATATAGCGGTACCATCACGTCTACATATAAAATAACAACACCAATTAGTGAGATCGTTTAAATAAAATAACTACCTTATGTACTGACCTAAGTTTCAGATACCGTCACCATTCATCTTGAAATAGATATTACGCAAATGTCTTTCCAACACTTTAAACACCCAATTGTATAAACTACCTAAACACAATTATTTCTAAATTGACTACACTACTTTAGATGCATTTACGTTATCGTCATTCATTAAGGTTTCTCCTGTGTGAATCGGTTAGACTACTTCTTTTTCTCTTGAAAATATTCGTTAGCATCGCCGTTATTTGTGCTGAATTCTGCATTGATAGATCTCTTTCTAATTGAAGTAGATTAGACGTGGCTGTAGCGAAGTCATTAAAACAGTTAGATTCAGTTATGCTTAAGCATTGGTAATTGCTGACCCTTGATATTTGAGCATTTAATGTTTCACGATATTGAAGACCTCGTGCGGCACACAAATGTTTCATATTATCGCAATCTCTTGATAGGCCAGGGAAATGAATTATAAGGCTAAAGCGCATTCCGGTGCCTAAAAACGTTGGCCTACTAGACAAGTGTCCGAGCTTTTGGTGCCAAACAAAGTTCAGTTTATCGTGAAGATAATTCATTATAACCGATATTTTACTGTATGTAATACCGATTTCTCCAGGTGCTTCAGATGGTGTACATATTACGACGCGTAAATGATCGTGTACATTTATCCAAATTGCAATTGATTTATCATCGTTCACGAAAACCCCGCGACCGTATGGCCAATGCGTGCCATGTAGCCGAGAGAAATCATCTATTTCTTCCCTGTCACATAAAGCTATAAGTAATCCATTCGCCGCTAACGCTGCACATATTTCAGACGGTTTCTCTAGAACTTCATTCAATGTGTAATAAGTACCGCCTTTTTGCTCAGATTCAGGATTTAGTTGTTCAATTAAACTTGAAAATTGTTCATGCATTAATATCGTTGTAAGGATTCTTTCGACTATTTCTAATTTACCAACTTTAAGATTTAAAGGTAATTCAAAGTCTAATAAATTTCTTGAGCACTCTATAGTTCCAGAAAGGACGAATTCATCACTTGGATCAATATTCAACTCAACGAAAGTTTCAGTGGCGGATTTCGATGATGTTAGTTTTGACTCAAAATCTGAAGGGGGGTGTATTGGTAGTTCGGAATTAACATTTAAATTATGGAGATCTTTTATTAAAGGAATCAAAAATTCATGGAATACTTCATAGACGTAATAATCGGGGGCTGTGACACCACCTGGAAAGTCTTCTTCTACGGTTTGTATGACATTTTTATTATCGGGTAACTTTTTTACGGCGGGCCATATTACGTCGAAAAGGTCATGATCGAGTTTCGTTGTACGGTGGCGAATCATTTCAAATATTGATCGTTTAAGAAATCTTCCCAGTACAGAAGGTGGCGTGGCTTTATTAGATGACGCAGAAAGAAGTGTCCTTGATGGTCTAGCAGATGCTAGAAGACGATAGCAGCGTTCTAATGTGTCTAATACTTCCGGTGTTTCCAAATTTCGTCTTGACGAAAAATGATCTTCGGGAACTATATTAATATATTCGTTAATAATGGAATAGTGTGATGTATAAAATGATGATATATTTTTATATGAAAAGTAGATTTCCATACCTTTATCCGATAACATGCTTTGAATGACGTCATCAGTTACACCATAATCAGCGAACATCTGCTCGTAAGGCAGTAAATAAGGGCTGTTTAAATAATCTTCTGCTGACCGGCCATTCTAAAATATATAGAAAAGATTTAAAAAATAGAACGGTTTTGAGCAAATAGAAAAAGTCATAAAACACAAAAATAATTTTTACATCATCTAAATCTTTAGCATTAGCGCCCAACTGCTGCAATAAATTAAAATAATGGCCATTGTCTGGTATGACTGCAGCGTAATGCAAAGCTGTTCTGCCCTCAAAGTCTACGGCAGATAAGGTTTCAGGAAATCTGCAATTAAACATTATTTGCATAATTTGCAATGCTCACTAAGTGAAAAAATGTACACCTATCCGTTAAAATACGAACCTTCCGCCGAGGTATTTTATAATATTTGTTTTTCCAAATACGGTAGCAACGTGTAGAGGTGTAGCTCCGTTTGGCGATATTGGGTCACGTGCTATTGCAAATTTTCTTCTATCTAATGCTGTTTGCAAATCTCTTATGTTACCGTCTTTTGCCGCTATATGAACTCTTTTGATTTTTTGCTAAAGTACGGAAGGGAAAATATTTAAAATTACCTTTCTAAAATTTAAAAATTCACAGAAACATAATTCCATTGAGCATGTGTCTTACCATATACATAGGTACGTTTTCTAAAAACGCTTGTAGTTCTGCATTTTGTGAACGTCTTCCGATTAATCTAGACCCCTCACCATTGAGTACTAATGTGGCCAACATTTCCATGTTTGCATTATTTATTAAATCAGTCACTTCTGGGTCAATTTCGTTGTCCTGCATCGTAATGAAGAATTTAAAGTCAACGTATTTCATTTAAAAGTATCTAATTGTTTCTTCTATGGAATTTTTGAATAATTCTACATTTTTTCGGCATACAAAGAACCTAAAAAGCTGGCAAATTATTCTATGACAGTGGTGTTACGATGTGTGTGAGAGTTATAAAGTGCGATGATGCAACTATTCTATGGAACACCACAATCAACTAAATAATTTACATCATTACCTTGTAGCTGGTTGTTATTTGTTATACTTTTTTGCATGAATTATACTTACAACAATAAGTATTTCTCCGTGCACTGAGGCGTCTTTTTCTGTCATACCAGCATCCTGTGAATCTTGTTCAGCATCTGCCCTAATTATACCTTCTATAAGACTTTCCTGAGTATTTCTGCCGTTGGTCAGGTTTCCTTAATTAGTAAAACAATCAAAAATATTTAACTTATAAGGGACCCTCAATGTATCTTATAAATAAAAAGGAAAATCTAAATAGTTTCAGTAATTATTTTACCAAAAGAGGCATATCCCCTTTGGCACTATTGCTTTCTGAAACATCTGCTGCATTTTTTGAAATCAATTCGCTGTGTTCTAGATGTGATTTGTCTTGGACTTGCACATCATCATCGTCCTCGTTGTTATTTGCATTACTATTACCTTCTTCTCCTATTGTATCTCTTTCTTCTGGCATGTAATCTGTATCCTCAGCGTGGGGATACATTTCCTCCTTTTCAGTTTCTAATTCACCGTTTATAGTCTCGTGTACAATTGATTCTGCAGCTTGAGAAATTTTAGCATCAGATATCTCTTTGTCTTCATTTACTTTATGGATATCATTATTTTCTTTAGTGTGATCTTCAAGATGAGCAAGTTCATTGTTTTCTTCAAGATCACCTTTCTTTTTTCCTTCGGTGTTTATAGAATCACCTTTTGGAACGTGTATTTCTTCGTGATTTTTTTCATCATTCTTATGTTCACTTGACTTTTCAGTATATTTCATGCTATTTTTCAGATGATCTATTTCGTCGCTCTTTTCGTCATTTTCATCAGGTTCTTTGAAAGAATTGCTTGAAGCATTTTTGTTAGCAGGATCTTCTATACTCTTAACCCCAGAGGTGACATCATCATCTAATTTTGTAGTCTCTTCAATTGTTAAAGAATTTTCATCACTATTTTCATTACTTTTTATATCTGTATTTGTTTTATTTTCATCATCACTGCATGTCATAATCTCCATTTTAGAAGGTTTCTCTGTTATATGCTCAATGTCTTTTTCTTCATGTATGTCTTCTTTTAATGTTTTTTCTTTTACTTCGTTTGTTGCCTAAAATTTAAGAAAAAATGTCATGCAAATGTTTACCAAAAAGCAAAGCAAATTAATAAATAATAAAAACCCATGGTAGCAATACATGCAACGCTAACCTCGTTGTCTTTTAAATCTTCTTCATTATTTTGATTTTTATTTATATTTGTGTCATCCGTATTGTCTAACTCTGGTAAAGTACTTATGAGTTCGTGAGTGCTGCTATTCTTCATAGCGTTCGGCAAACTTTCTGTTATTTCTGATACACTACTATTATTATTATTTTTTGACGATATGTTTTCAGTTGCAGCTTTCAAATTCTTCTTTCTAGGCTTTTTATTAAATTCAGATTCCAATAATTTCCAATCCCAAGATGATGGATAAGCACTAGATGGTGTGCGGGGCGCATCAGGTAAAATTTTTAGTGAATTTTTGTCTATTTCTTGCGATCTATTGATATAATAACCGGGACTTTTATTTTTCTAGAAAAATAAGATTATAAGTAATTTTTAATTGCGTTATCATCTTTTCATATTTTCTTTTACACAATAATAACAATAACAATAATGTACTCTTGTCTAGTCTAGTAATGTCTAGTTAATATGTATAACATATAATTATTTGCCAGATTACAATCCAAACTTTATCTTTTAAAAGTAATACATAAATTACAAAACATAATTAGACTAGACTTGTTGCTGCAGCCGATGACGAACGGCTGGCTTATTTTCTAGCTCAAAGGTGAAGTGTAGCTATTCAGCGAGGAAGAGGAAATAGCGTTCCTGATACCATGCCGCGTGGACTAGTTTAGATAAATATGTAATTTAGTTATTATTTAATATTGTAAATATTTTTTGTTAAAGAATTATGTAATATTTACAATGTAAATATTTTTTGTCAAATAAATATGTGATATTTACAATAATAACTTTTTGGCTATATCATAGTTTAAGCTAAAAATAACTTTTAAATTATTTAAACTCCATATAATAAATAGCGTTTTGGTAACTTGTGCAGCATACTTCGTTCAATGCAAAGAACTACCAGTGTCAGTGATTTAAGCGTAAGACTTAAGGATTGATATAGTTTCGGAAGACGTGTTTTCAAACACAACTAAGTATGCATACGTTGTCAACAACACTTTCGTCGGCTCCAAGTTCGACAAGCGTGTTGTATGTGTGTTGTTCGTCCTTAACAGTAGCGGCGTAATGCAGAGGTGCCCGTCCATCACTGTCAACGTCTTTAATGCCCTGAGGGTATTTTTCTGTTATGTACTTCAATATACCGCAATGTCCCAACCCGGCAGCCTAAAACACATAATATTTTAAGAAACGTTATATTTCCACGGTAAATCAAGTTACGATTGCTTTTGATATCTAATATATAAAATTCTCGTGTCACGGTGTTTGTAATTGAACTCCTCCGAAATGGCTCGAGCGATTTTCATGAAATTTTGTGTGCATATCGGCCAGGGTGGAGAATCAGGCAACATCTATTTTTCCTACCCCTAAATGTTAAAGGTAGTCCACCCCAAACATTTTTTTCTACCCTACAAATAATTTATATGGCAAAATAACGTTTGCCGGATCAGCTAGTAGTATAATATATTTTTATGACATATTAATTTAATAGTACCAGTCTCTGCACTTAAGATGAAATTTAAAATACATTAATAATTTATAAATTACCTAAATCAATCTAAACATATAGTTTTTTTTTCATCTTTATTGTAATTTTTTTAAGAACGCCTGTTAAATGTGATCATTGTTAATAGAACGATTCTTTATTTTGTTTACATTCACTGCCCTGTTTGTTTTAGTAAACAACGAGATCAGTTTAATTGTTGTTAGCTTGGAACGTAGAAATTTACATACCTTATGAAAAGCCGTCATGCCATTTACATCTCTTCCGGAAAGTACTTGTGGCGACACGGGGTCCGCTGTTAGCCTCATCAATCCTTCCAGATCATTCTGAATGACCGAGTTGTGTATATCGCGGATGGTATTCTGCGAAAGGACAAATTGAACTTTTTAATCTAGTCTAGGTTGTTAGTTGGTCGCCCCCGTCAACCGCGGTCCTGTGTCGAGATGGGAGGGAAGGTCCAATCCGGGCTTGTTCACACTGTTAATATGTGCCCATGGAGAGACATCGAGGGGGTTTTAGTTGGTAGGAGCCCGACTAACCCTTCCTTACCTGCGTAAGTGCTGGTATGCGTAAATAAAAAAAGTTGGAAGCACGTATAGCGCCAAAACAATTATATGGATTTAGACACACTTATATGGATTTAGACGCGAGCTTAACCTTTAACCGTTTATTTAGATAAAATATCCGTCTTTCCCTTTCTTCAATCTCAAACTATTTAAATTCCTTTAATTTAATAGCTTGTAACACTTAATCGAATTCTGGCAGATATGCCCGGATATGAAAATGTACAATCTGAGAGTAATTTCGAAGAAATACGAAATAGGCTGCATACCACCTATGGAATCGCAGCTTCTAGTCGAGAGGTATGCAGGACATGGTGCTTATATAAATTATGTGAATTCTATGCTCACCATAATGTAAGGGACCGCTTCAAGAAATCGCTTCACAATAGGCTGGCTGGAGACCTCGCTGAGCAATCGAGTGCCGTGGCCTTCCCACACTACACGTTGTAAGCGGCCCATGTCACACTCGTGGCACCATATTCTTATGTTGTGGCGTTTTATCGCCAACCCTATTTGCAATGAATTGAAATTCAATAATTGTATGCAGCACAATGGGACGATGTTATTCGCTATCGTTTTAGCCAAATTAATCAAAAGTCACGATATGGTCCGTCATATAAAGCCTTTCGTAAAGGAAATGTCATTTTCTGACATTGGTTAAAATGACTTTAATCAATCGATTGCGTTAATTACCGACAAAGTATATTCATAGTTTTCTAGAACGGCAATCGATGGGAAAGTTCAAGGTGAAAACCCTTTATGAGGGGTATGTGGGAAAAATGGCTCATGTTTTATAAGCGTGCTATTTATAAACCGTACCTATTAATTTTCCCTAGCATACGATGTGGACGTTAGATTAAAATGTTTATTAATAAAGTTCAAATCAAACATTCTATGTTTGTATTAACATGCCAAAGCAATTGTTTTGCTAAGGCGTTATTAAAATAACTACTAATAAATAGCAAAGCCTAATATAATTCTGAGGAAAATGGTCAAGATTAAAATCTCCATAGCTTTTGTACAGTCTTTTTAGTTTTTCATCTTACAGCAACATATGCGTAAAACGGGCTGACTTCATAGAAACGATTCCTGCTTGTTTGATGAAGAGTTAGTTTTACTAGCACCAGAAGAGAAATTAATGTATTTTATAAAGTAAATAAGTAATGCGTATTAGCTTATAACTTATAACGTATTGGAAGCACTAAAACAGTAAAAACAGTACCTAAACAGTAAAAGTAAAATAGACTTAGGTCAATTAGTGTTAAACGCCTCTTGTTCAACTCACAAATTGGATGTTTTTGAAGAAACATTTAGTATACGAAAAATACTATGGATTGCCATTAGTAAAACCACTGACAGGGTCACGTCATGTAATCGAATGGCCGCTCGTCCTCATTTGTGAAATTGGCTTATTCATTATCCATTACACATATCCTATACATATGTATATTGTTATACTTTATTCCTTATACATCCTTCCCACCTATATACTTGTATTCCTATGAAAAAAAAACGCAAATTAAAAACCAATCAGCTAAATTTGGCTCTTTCCTTTATTCATTTTACCTTTTCTGCAGGATTTCATTATACTATTTTGTTTAAGGAAAGTTAGGTATACATGTTTAGATGCTTAGTATTAGTCAAATACTAAGATTAAGAAAAACTATCTGTTGATCATGTAAGATGTTCACGCCATGTTAGAATCGAATCTATAATCCTGACAGTAGTACGAGGATGGTGCTGAGCCAACAGATTATCAAACTGATGAGTGGTCACGTCTAATTTTGTTGTCGTGATAGAAAAAACGCTGTTTTTGGATAAGATTTTTTATACCCAGTTTCATACAATCTCTCGACAAAAGCTTAAACCATGAGTTGAAGTTAAAGGTATTAGTGATCCACTTATGCAGCTCTTGGAACATACTACGCTAATTGGTTCGATTAGAATTTTTACCCGCATTCGAGTGCTGAAATTTAATTATGCATATGTGATAGTAAGAAGCTCCTCGACGAATGTCAAGGCCGCATTTTTATTATTCAAGCCGTCTGAGGCATGGACAGACAGACGCCTTTAATGTTTAATGGTGCGGACTTATATCGATCGCGCACACCTGACACACTGGTTCGGTGTAGGCCAATAATAATTGGCGGTTTATTGACGGGTAGTGGGAGAGATTCATTTTCTATATTATCTCTGACAAAGGTTTTAGTATAAGTTATACGAAGCTACACGTGCTTTCAACCTAAGGCTTAACTTAACCGTCTAATCAACTTAAAAGTATAACTTGTGATGTTTCACCAAGCATCCCAGATTTCAGAATATGTGAATGAAGCTGTCACCTATCTTTAACCAATATCACGTTAAATATCCATCACTAATGGTTTCGATAATAGAAATCAACTTCCGAAATTGATAGGCTCTAAGACGGGAGACTGACTCAATGTCTATCACAAAATTAATAAGTGCCTCTACAAGTTCCTGGTGTTACCATGGAAGTATGGCCATATTCCTAACTTTCTTTCCTACGAGTGAGAACTGGAAGCCCCCACTCTCAGTAGTAGGCAATACGCCTACAAAATGTCATATGAGCAACCGTTCGCTTCGTTTCCATCCTCATACAATTATTGCAGTGCTGTAGGAATCCGTCTACAAGGATCGATTTGGCAACCACACCAATGCGTTTGTGATGTCAGTATTAATAAATCTTCTACTCTACGGCCTTTTAGTTGAAAAAAGTGTTGGCTGTTTTTCCTATCACGGTTCCTCCTTGTTCTTGTTTCCATAAATATTCCTTAAATTTTAGATCCCTCTGACATATGCCGTACGATGACATTAGGCCTGATGGCTTGACTTTGATCACTTGGAAGAGAGGCCAATGCTTGGCTTGGGATGCTACTTGTGCTTTGGCTGCCACTCGTCTAACCAGAGGTACTCTTAACCATACCCAGGGTGGCATCAGAGGCAGCTGAAGAGTAAGTAAGTAGCGCAAATATAAGTCTCTTTGTGTAAATTATGTATCACAAATCGACAAGATCCGCACACGGTGTTTTGAAAGAATTATATTCTCGACTTATTGTTGTGGCTGGTAATAAAAGCAATGGTTTTTTTTTCTCACTCATAGGATAAGAATAAATATAATCATTGAGATATCCTCAAGCCAGCTTTTTACAACATGCCACGTAGGCTAGGCTTATTAGTAATTAAATTTAGTTAGTATTTAATAATGTAAATATTTGGGCTTTAGATCAAAATTCGACACACACGTGACACTTTATTCACAATATTTCTTTTGTATTCAATCGTAAACTGCAGCTATAACTAATTCTAAGTTATAACCAAAAATATAAATTTTAAAACTTGTTCACTATTGGTATGTTGCATTTAAAAACTAATTAATTTATATTTTTAGTAGTTAAAAAAAAGTATAAAAATTTCTACATTTGTTTGATCCAAATATTCCAGTAAATGATTTTCTCCAGAGGTTCACCTGATGTTAAGTGATTACCCCCGCCCATGGACATCTACAAATATAGGCATTGTCGATGCCTTGAAAAGTTCTTCTGAGAGCCTGCCCATTCCTGCAACAGCAAAACTACGGAGTGGCCTTATCGAAGGTGAAAAAGCTTATGATTACCGAATTTATTACATTGAAAAATGAGTATTTCAGATTTGATCAAACGTAACATTTCATTGTACTTGCGCTTTTAGGAACTTTTTGGCCAATAGAAGTAGTAAACCTTATTATAAAATCGTATATGTTAAAAAAAATTGAACATGCCGAGCATTAACAAAACATTTCACAAAAATGTAGAAAGCTCGCAACTGTACGGCTTTCCATGAAATTTTATCGTATCAAAATGATTCATCATTATAAATGGATCGATTTGGACAACATGTCGTCCGCACAGACACATCAGGGCAAGTAATTGGAGTATATGAAACAATAGATTTGACTAAATAGAACATCGAAAATTTCTTTGTCATGTATTTTGAAGTTTGATGAATAATAATGAATAAAGTTTTCAAACGATATGTGGTTGAATATTTAGTTTCTTTATTAACTACCTACCTTAATATGATGACACATATATTATAATAAAGAGTAGATCGTTTTGCTCTCAGTACTGCATATTATATCTCAGCAAAGTACGATTAATCATAGTCAAGCAAATTAATTCAGTCTTTGAAAACGTAAAAATCGGTGTGATTACAAAATAAGCTTTATCATTTGAGAAAAGTAGCACATTGACAAAGATGTACATTTTGGTAACTAATATACGCCATTTAGATTTTTTACAAGTTGTATATACCTAATGACGCTCGCGCAATAAAGAGAAATATAACGGCATATTATTCGTTAAGATCGGGTCAGCTGTTTAGTAGTTGTGATGGACCACAGGGATAAATGAAAAAATATATAGATTGAAATAATAACAAAAAAAAAAAATTCGAAGATATGTGAAGTCCGCCAATCCGCAGTGGGGCCGCGTGGTGGACTATGCTCTGATACCCTCTGCAGAGAGGAGGTCTTTGCCCAGCAGCGGGACATGTATAGGCTGTTACTTTACTTTTACAGTGATAGATATAAATACAAACAAATGCATGTTCATTTAGCGTACTTCAATTTTCTATGACCGTGTCTATACTAATATAATAAAGCTTAAGGTCAGGAACATCGGTCCACCTGTTATATATGTATTCTTGTCCAATTCTTAGGCGAATCATTCTACGCGTAACATAGACGGCCGAATTATCTATACTGATAAAATAAAGCTGATTTATTTGTTTGTTTGTATTAACGCGGTAATCTCTGGAAATATCAGTCCCATTTGAAAAAATCTTTTTGCATTTGATAGCACAATTTTTGAGGAAGGATATAGGGCTATTTAACATCACGCTAAGACGTACGGGAGCTAAGCAGAAACGTTTCTCGCGGTTGAAATTCGAACTGCTAGTATTTTATAAAAAAAAACAATTGTTTCAATATGTACTTGTGTGAGGTATGTAGGCTTTTATTACATTTTTATTAAATTTTATTACATTTTCAGTATAACAAGCCGAGGCGCAACAAGTTTGCGTGCCAAGAACTTCGCATCGTTACCGAGATTAACATAATAGCACCTTTCACAAAACCCTTCGAAAAGAAATATAAAATGCTCGAACTATAATAATCTACATTACACAAATTTTGATAGTTATTACGTGTTAAGATGTTTGATAAGATATAAAACTCTATGAATGAAAATGAATAATGTATTTTGTTATTACAAACTTTAATTAATTTAATTTAATTGGCAAATAAATTCTAATAATCATTAAGACACTAATATTCAATCAGGAATATACATTTTATTTTTACATTTTAATAATTTTAATACACTTTGATCGATAGTTATAATAATATCAGTTATATTAATATCGGTCGATAGTATTTATTTACAACCATTAAAGAATTATTAAATTGAATATATAGCTTAGTAAATTATGTAAAGGAGTAATTAATTAATTAGTATCACTGCTCGCCAAAGCCCACCTCGAACGAGAAGCTATTTATAAGGCATATTTGATCGATGCCGTTTGGCAGACTTCACATGTCACTACAATCTTATACTTTCAACGAGCAATTCTTGTATATACAGCGTGTCGTTACCATCGCGACAATAAATGAACACACATATAGGGGATAACTTTTTAAAGTTGTATTAAACATTTAAATTCTTTAAACATCAATATTTACAGAGTTATTAAATTTTCCAAAACAAAGCATTTTAGAACACCCTTACCTATAAAAGCGTAACGTAAAGTTCATTTGTAAAGGTCACAAAGCATATGAAGTTGAAGGGGTTGAATGAATTTAAAAGAGACAAAACATACTGTTAGAAGGAGAGGCTTGTAATGCGACGCTATGGCGCGAGTTGTATAGGATGTTACAAATTTTGTTTTTTTTTTTTACTTAATTATTTTGTTTGAAAAAAATTTTTTTTAATTATGGATTTGTTTAACGTTAATATTTTTTTATGATTATTGGCAAGTAGCGTTAGACGTGTGTTAATTTATTGTCGCGATGGTAACGACACGCTGTATATATATATATATATAATCGGAATCTCGTAATCGGCTCCAGCGATTTTCATGAAATTTAGTATGTGTGTAGATTCGTGGGCGAAAAATCGATCTAGCTAGGTTTCATTTTTAGAAAATGTCCTTTTATCCCTGTTTTCAGGGGATGAAAAATATCATTCGAATATGACAGTAAATTTCGCCGCAAAATAAAATGTTATAATAGCTCGGTCGGTAATCGGGCGGCCCCAAAACAGACGGCCGTGGTTCGTACCACGATCATTTACACACTTATTTTTTTAACTTTTTTTCTATACCGCATCATTTTCTTTATTTTTTTTTATTTCCAAAATACATAATTTACCAAAAAATTATATACCTTTACCCTATACCTTTTTTTGACTAGATATTATATTATATTCACCGCTAAGCACATGTTAAATCTGCTGGTTTATTTCATTTCGCTTAAAATTGCTATCAACGATTTAACAGTACACGTGAGATTTAAATTCAGTTTACGTGAGTTTCATGAACCACACAAAGTAGATACTTAGAAACTTAGCCACTACAGCTTAGTTCCGCAGCTTAACACTTATTTATTATTACTACTTTTATAGTATTATGAAAAATAAAAGGATACAATAACTACGCCTATAAATAACAGGTTTCATAGTAAAACTTTATGATATTTCACACTTAATGGATTAACACTGCAGATACCACCTCACCTTAAAAGCCAAGCCTTTATCTACGCGCAACTGTATTCCACATTATCATTGACGATCCGGTTGGGGTAATGGGTAGTGTACCTGCCTCTTGCGCCAGAGGGTGTGGGTTAGATCCCCAATGTGGAGTAATATTGCGTAATGGACATAGTGTTTTATCAATGTCTGTATATATGTATAAGATGTATTTATTTACAAAAGAAAAGTATTTTTAAGTATTTTCATCAAAAAAGTAGCTCTGCAAAGTAATTACTTTTGTAATATTACCAAAAATTGGCAATAATTAACACTTTTTTCTATATTATAAATCTGAAACACAGGGAAATTATTACACTTCTTGAATTAAAGTCACATTTCTTAGTAATTACGTTGGTACAAATAGTACTTCCTTTATAGGGAACTGAGAAAAAAGTGTAGCACGTAGTCCTTTAGGGTCTACGAAACGTAGCTGATAACTACGGTGTAAAATGTTCTTTTTTGTATATTTTATCTATACTTCCATACTAATATTATAAATGCGAAAGTAACTCTGTCTGTCTGTCTGTCTCCCTTTTACGCCAAAACTACTGAACTGGTTTAAATGAAATTTGGTAGACAGATAGTCTAGAGTCTGAGAAAGGACATAGGCTATTTTTAATTGGAAAAAAATATTTAAAGAAAGGTATTTATTTAAGGGCTTCAACGAGAGCGAAGCCGCGGGCGAAAAACTAATATATTCGTCCTAGTCATATTGCTATTTTACCTAGGGTGAGCTGATAGAGAATGCATTATGGCATTATGCTCACCTTTGTACACTTTTCAGTGCAATAAATATTAAATAAATAAATAAGAAATAAATACATTCTTTTTTTTCTCATTGCTATTGAGTTCAAATAAACTATTTTTTCATGTAGTGATCCAGTATAATTATTGATGATGTATTATTGTAGCCCGCAGCAGTCGGTCGGTCAATGGTATGACCGACCGACTGCTGCGGGCTACGATTTTTTTTGTATTGTGTGATTATTATGACATTGCTGCGCATTTCCATATGAATTTGAATACATTTTTTGATACTGATCCAAAGTTGATGAAGCATGCATCTTTAAATAATTAACACACATTTTAATGGAAATGACAAATAAGAAAGTGGTTCTATAATATGCCATTACTTATTCTTAAGCATCTTACCATCTCATTATTATGCCCTCCGAAATCCCAGTGATATAGCTTAGATTACTTCAAATTTAAATGTCAATTTATTTCAAAATGATTATACCAATTTTTCTGAAAAATTGGTATTAAGAAAAATATTTATACCATATTATTATATTTATAGCATGTATAATGTGTTGAAAATAGATTGGTATAAAACAGGCTTTTTGTATCTGACAATTTCGCAACAATTTAGCAAAGATGGTGTTAAGGACTGACTCTGAAATCTAATGAATTCAATGCTCGTTTACCGATAATTAATATTTCTAAGTACAGTAATTGTCCTATAAGAACCTTTTGAATTCTGTTAAAACCTTTTTTCTTTTGCAAAAAATAAATAGCTCATTTGAAATTTGAATACATAATTGTTAAGTACGAGGTCAGCCACGCGGTCGATTCCTTTATTCAAAATAATATGTGATCCATAAATTATTTTTTGCTACGGTGTAACATGCTAGAGTTCTTTCATAAGCGGACTAGAGGCTTTACATAATTATGCTATTTACATTATGCATGTATTAAAAACTTCTAGCAATTTGTAAGGTTCAATTAGTTCCTCCAGGAAAATACATAATTTAATTCATAATTTCTAGATGTTGTAAAAGATATATTTGTGTGTAAGCTTATCATATATTTCTAGACAGATACGAATTAGTCTGTTTAGAAAATTTTGCATTAAGCAGAAAAAGTAATCTCTTTTTCTGTTTATAATATAAATTATTAAATTTTATAAAAAATAATAAAACAATCGATCAATCAATTCTCATATTTTTTAAAAAACATCAAACACGTGACATCTTATTGTCTCGCCAATATTTTTTTAAAACACATAAATTATTTTCAGCGAGAAACACTGACGGGAAAACTTTCACAGACAAAAAAAAATAAAGTGCCATCACTGACCTGGCGGGTTTTTGAGCGCGGGCTGTGGCATGTCGGCGGCGGGCAGCGCGAGCAGAGTGCGAGCGGCGCGGTAGTGGGCGAGCGTGCGGCCGGACGCGTCCCGCGCCCCCCTCGCCGCGCCCGCCCCCTGCAGCAGCGCCGCCGCTGCCGCCTCGTCGCGGCACACGGCCGTGTAATGCAACGCAGTCCTGCCTTCCTGTACACCGCGACATGTGAGCCGGCACTTGCAGTGGCGGATTTGCCCTAAGGCCCAATAGCCCGGGACCCAGGGCGGCCAAGACTACATTTCTGCCTCTGAGCAATTGGGCGGTTATCCTAAACCATCAGGTCTGGCCATTATTTGCTCTTGGCAACGCCGGTTGCCCACAGATGATGTTCTTGGACGGACCGTTTTCAAATGGGTAAAGGTGGCGCTGATCACTTTACCAAACGGTGAGGCTGTAAAGTATATCGTCATCTTGTCATCATGCAGGAGTGACTAATCAAGAGAGGACACCAATTATAACGCCGTGCTTGGTTTCTGCGTATATCGGAGTTTGTGATTATCGTTAGATACCGGTAATAGTTGACGCACCTGCCCGCCCTTATGTGATGTTGGACACCACTTATCGTCAGGTGTAGTTTATATCTCATTAGTTTGATTTTTCCCCATAAATACAACTTCACGTTGTAAGCGTGGGCGGCGATAATCATGCATTGTATCTACCGCTAGCTCCTCTTTAAAAAGGATCAGGACGGATTGCGAATAAAATGTATGCGGGTGCCGAGTTTCATTGAAAACTTTAAATTATGCACTTAATGTGAGCGACACTAAAATAAAAAAATAAAAGGCTTAAACACCAACCATACTCTACTAAATTCAATTCTTATAAGCCTTCAAATATTACAATAATTCTCGCTCCTACTGCCTAGATTATAATGGTACATACTTCGATTGATTAAATGTATAATTTCCTTTTTTTTGGTTTTACTTTTTCCATATAAAACACCAATTTATATGCAATGACCTAATATAAAGAAACAATAATATACATAAGTACAAACGTCTTATTACTAATTTAACTTACTGAGTCTCGTTGTTGAACGAGGTGCGGAAAGCTTTCGACGAGCCATTTGACAATGTCCATGTAGTCGTAGAATACAGCTTTGTGTAGTAGACCTACGCCCGCCTCGTCGTAGCACGTTACGCTTTTATTGCGATTGTAGTCCGTGTCTAACAAATCCTTGAATAAATCAAGTCTTGATAAGAAAATTAAAGGCTGCGAGTGAATGTTTCAATACAACATACTAAATTAATTATTGTTATTATTATAAGGCGTCGATAATAAATGACATTAATCTTGATCTTTAGTCACCCGACAATTGTAAAACAATTGTTGGAGTTGATATGCAAAAAAATTGTGGTTTACACCACACAAGTACTGGAGAATTCCGCAGCGAAATACCTTAACCCCATATTTGATTAAGTTATTTATCACACCATTCTTTGAACATTCCATTCATGCAACAATTTCATTAATTAAATATAAAATATGACTCTTATTTAGAAGACTTAATTTTTAAAAAGATGTGGTCGTTATGGGCAGCGGTGATGGCTAACTGATCAGGTGAGTTACTTACGTTCTTGTCGTCACTCATTAAGAGAACAAATTAGGAATGTGACAAACTCTACCGCGGCCTCCTTCCGGGTGATAACTCCTCGCAGTATGTGAGGGTAGCACTCCATGTCCTGTCGCTGTTAACCATAGCGCGAACCACAGCAGGCAATGAGAGGTCGTAGCCCACGATAGCGTACAGCTATCGGCCCTGCTCCGTCCAGAGTGGACACACCTCCAGCGCGTGTTGGGCCGTCTCCTGATACGTACGTCAAAGTGGTGGCATTCCACTGGGTGGAATTCCTCCCTTGTCATGCGAAACAGATACCTCCCGAAACAAACGTGTCCTCAAACAAAACATCCCTGTCCGCGTATATTGCGAGGACGTAATCACCCGGAAGTAGGCTGCGGAGAGACAAAGGGAGGCAACTGCTACCCTGGATATCCACCGCCGGAGACCAGGGCGCAGGAGGCTGGCCTACTCGCGTAACCTTCCCCCCTGTCGGCGTCTGCTGTTGTATATGGGGCTCATGAGGGGTGCTGTGCTAGTTGCACCGGCACAGCACCATTTAGCCGGACTGGGGGGCCTAGCACCCGTGAAGAGGAGGCCCTAAAAAGGCCATAGTCGTGCCGGGGTCGCGGAAGGTTGCGTCTTTGTGTGCCCGTGTCCCCGGCTGGTGCAACAGAGACGGTGTAAGGGTTTTTTTTACTGGGTATTCGTTTCTTACTGGGACTCCCACATAAAGGATTTTCCTACGAAAAAAGAAAGGCCAGCACTGAGGTGCTCCAGCCTATGCTCCCAGCCTCCGATGGCATCATTATCACACACAAGACTGACCTGATGTGGCAGTGTAACACTTTTGCGTTTCGTCTGGTGAGTGAGGCCTTTTCATAAAGTGGTGCCCCAATTTATGAAAAGGTGGCAACGCGTCTACAGCCCTACGGGTGTTGCAAATGTCCATAGGCGGTGGTTATCACTTAACATCAGGTGAATCTCAAGCTAACTTGTCACATCACATAAAAAAAGTTACCCTCAGTTCAAGCAGGGATCCCTTCTCAACGGCAGCGTGGAGGGCATCACATTTGGCGATGAGCTGAACCAGGTGCTGTGGCAGCGGCACTGCCTCGGCCTCTGCCAGCAGCCGGTGACCCTGGCCCGAAAGCACTGCGCGTTCCAGTTTGCTCTCTGAACCGCTCAGCGCCCAATGGCGGAGACGAGCCGCTGTTACATCTTTCAGCACTGAAATGCCGGGTAGGCTATCACTTTAAAACGAAAAACTAGGCAGTAATCAAACATTTTAAGATTTCCTCCGTAATTATTTGTTAATGTTATTATAGAAAATGTTACCTAAACGTTAAAATTAAATGTTTTACTTATGTTCCATGTCGTTCGAATGTGAATCTCTAAATATTTTGATAGATTGATTTAAGAGCATTTCATTATGTTGGTTAAGAATAGATTTTGTAGGCAATGAATAAGTCAACAGGAATGTTTTAAAAGGAGTCTCACGTTAGAAAGCCGATAATGGAATAAGCCTTCTCAAGGTTGAGTGAGTATAAGTGCACCCTTTGTTTGAATCTGATTTCACCTTTTCTCTGATTATTCACAGTATGTTTTTATAGTTTTTTTAATACTTAAGTTTGAATTACAAATAATATTAAATAATCATTTTAAACACGATCCGAATTCATATTTCCATTATAATTTAAGTCTATTTGTTAAGAAAAATATTAGATAAATTATTTAACGGTTACATATCACCTAGTAATAAATGTATATGATAATACATGTTCATCAACCATATTACCACATTATAGTAACAATAGAAAAACTATGTCGTCCTTACACTCCAACTTTCATACATAATATACAAAAAAATCCTATTGTGACGACAACAAAACTGTGTTATAAGGACATCCATCCACAGTAACGGCCTTTAGTAGACAATCGATCGATGACACCGTTAAAAGAACATGTACGAATATGGTGGACAATGGTGTTTATTTTGTGATGATTATATGGGCATTTTTGCTGTTAACTCTATTGATAACATCGCCCTGGGTGTGAGAACCATATAAACATTTTGTGGTAAAACTTAAATATGAGAGTTAACGCTTCGATTTCGTAGCTTGTTTGATATTTGAAACAAAGGATCTTTCCTTGTTATTCGGTTTTATTTTTTACAGGTCAGCTGCTATTCTGTATTAAAAACGTTTTAATATCTAATGTATTGTGGTGTTTAAACTTTGGATTGCATTGAAAAATTGATTTGTTTTCTTAATGATTGGTGAATTTAGGCGAATACCGAACTGTTAAATAGAACTAATTAAGGATTTAATAGCCTTTCATTTTGATTTTATTCTCAACATTTTACAGAGTTCCTGGCCTGTCCCTTGACTTTGTTTGTTAGTTCATTAATTTGTGTTATTTTTAAACAAGCAGTTTTAATTTTCTGAACACATTTCCTGGCACAGAACTCATGCATTTTAAGAATATATTTGAACCTCTGTGTCGGTATAATAAGCCCTTTACTTAACAAAAGTTCGATAAGTGACAGCATGACACTAATATAGGGAATATTATTAGCCGTTAAAATTAGGGTATAAAAGGTTTTTAAATTAGCCAATTAATATAAATGAAGTCTTAACTTCTAAAATTTGGTTTTGAATTGCATAATATTCATAAAGTCTTATAAAACACCCTGTGTTCGTGGTTTGCATGTATTAAGCTAGTTCGTAGCGTAAAATTACAAGATTTATAATTTAATGACCGTCTGAGTGCGCAACTTATCGCGACACCTCTCTGGCCTCACCTACACGTTTCATTTGAAATATTGCCTATTCACCTAAAAATATAGTGTATTTGTTTTATTATTTTTATATATATATATATATATATATATATATATATATATATATATATATATATATATATATATGTTTTGAACTAATGTTTTCATTTACTATAGAATCCCGAGAGTAAATTAATTTCATTCTTTCTTATTATTACTCAACACTTAAGCTTTTTTCAAAAGGTTGTCAACGCATTTGGAACCTCTCGGGTGTAGCAGTTGTCCATGGGCGGCAGTATTCACTTAACATCAGCTGAACCGTCTGCTTGCTTGGCTACTTTTCACATTAAAATAAGCTAACTTCAGTTTTGATCATATTAATATAGTATTTACGAAGATTCACATGGTCCATACGTAAAAACCTCTATAAAACGTTAAGTCAATAATCGAACGCTCTATAAAGGAGCTTTTTTCTTGTGTTCGAGCGTATTTAAGTTTTTATTCCTTATTTCGCTTTGTTATTATTTATTATTAAAATGACGCTATTTCTAAAGCACTAAAATTTGCCTTATTCTTTAGGTCCTATCGCTAAATTCACAAGTGCTATAAACCCTCCACTTCTTTTTCTCCTGTGGTCACAAATTCTAATTTTAGTGATGTTTATAAAAATAACTAAATCAGAAAAAATTAACAGTTTCATTTGATTTCCTTTTTTTATAAAACAAAATATCGACACGACTTTTTAAATAGAGTTTTACTGGGCGGAGAGTGATTTATAATACATAAACGTAGGTTTTTTCAGGAGAAAGCAAAATTACTCTTTCGGCATTATACCTTTAGCACTGATGGTCTACGTAATCTAATTCATAAAACTACATACAGCAGTCTTAATATTCTGGATGACTGTCGGACCCACGGACTCTAATTACCTTTGTATTCATATTATCTATGCCAAGTTGCGTCTAAGTTAATAACAGTTTTTTGCAATGAGCCGTGTAGGTTACCGTTCAAAGTGCGGGTCATTAACAGGTCTATCGCTCGACTCCGCGCCCTATCATTTCAAAGTGCTTGTTTTAACTGGTTGTCTATTACCACCTCAGATAACGTGCGAATATGGGCCACCTATTGATATTGGGAGACAACGTAAATGATATATTGAATTGACGATAACTCCATAGGGGTAATATCGTTGATGTTAAACTTTTAAAAATTAGCACCTACCAGCACGATGATAAAAAGAACGTATAACATTTTAAAAATGTGATATTTTAAGACTTATGTACAGATTATATTCCCCGGTTTAGCTTTCAGCACATTTAGCAAAATACTTGGGATGTTATGGTGTATTTATGATTCTACAAAGTCATACGACGAGATGGCGAAATGCAGTAACTCTTTATATAAATTACAGTTTCAATAAAGCCATTCAATTTAAATGTACCATGAACATTTAGGACTAAGATTCAGTCAAATAAGTCAAAATTTCTCGCTTATTAATTTATGTCAAAACTATGAATTATTAAGATTGATGTGGGCAACACTATTTGGACCAACAGCTCTAATCACTTTTTATATACAAAACAAAGGGCGTTATCACCAAACGATATTAAATCAAATACGATTTAAAAAATATCATCATAATATTGCTATTGCAGACTCGAAAGCGGATGGTGGGGTTGGGAACGTTTTAACACGCGACTGTAGACAGGCGATTCAGCCGATGTTTGACATGCTTGCATTGTTCCTTCTTGAAATTGCCTTTTTTTCTTGACTTTGCCCGCGCAGATAGAAGTCACAGGCGGCAACGTTTACTTTTTGTTTATTCATGCCTTTATTTGTTGCTAAAGGTATATTTATACATTGTTCAATGCGATTAGGTAAGTGTTTACGCGATATTTGTTGATCCCTGATAAATAATTACAATAAAACGGTGCAAATTTATATTTAATGTTCGTAGACTCTGAAATCAATGCAGCGCTATATGTGAACAAAGGAAATGTTATATGTTCAATTTCATAGTGTTAACCAACATCAAATCAACTTAAGTAATTTAAGTTCATTCATTTATTAACATTATTTATAAACGAAATAATAGGTCTATCGTTGTGCGTGTATCACAGAAAAATACTGGATAGATTTCATTTAATTTTTTTAAGTTTATTTAAAAAAAATGGCTATTATCTATGACTATAAAGAAAAATATATGTTAATTTAATGTGAAGTTACTAAAGTTTTAATAAACACTTATAGTATAAGAACTTCGTGTTCAGTGATATGTTTGTTTAGTGTGTGAAGAAGAAGAATGTGAAGAAGTGGAGGAGTTGTTTATAAAATAAGCAACTGAGACGAAGTCGAGGGTATCATTTGGTGTATAATATAGTGAATGCGGTACACTTACATTTTGGTAAACTGTAATGCAAATATAATCCGTTCTTCTTGACTGTTCGATCTGTGGAGCATTTTGTTACGCTGTCCATGATCTAGATTAGGGTAGCCGAGGGTACCTTTCTTCAGTCTTATAGAAAAAAAATTAAATATTAAGCACAGTGCACTTTATTAAAACTTTTGCAGGTATAATGGTAATCTGTACGATTACCAATAAAAAAATTAGAATGAATTATTTTCGATCGGGAAAATATAATTTTATTTATTCTTACTCCTACTACTTAAAGCTACTGTTATATATAAATTATTTCGTGTAAAAGGAATAGATCGATTTTCAGCCTAGATAGTACGAGGCAATTCAAAACTCTTATTAAATATTTACAGCTAACGTTCCACTGACACCGTTTGACCCGTCGAACGATCTAAGGCCGAAATTTGTGTTCCAATAAAAGGAAATCTATAATGAACTAAACATTTTAGCATTTTACACAAACACCACATTACGCAATATTTCTCACTTTTTTTGTACAAGCCACTCGGGTCATGTTCGGAAATAACTTACAAATGGGAGATACTCGTATGTAGTCGAAGAATTAGGTCACGTTTTTATACGTACCTACTTGTAGTTTACAACGTCGTGTGCACAATATGTACAACCTCCACGACAAGTTATATTGCAGGACTTAAAATGTGTTTGAAAAATGTAATTTTGCTGTTATAGAAACTAAATGATTGCCTGAAATGTATCTTAGACTTATCCCGTCGATACCCAATGACTTTATATAGCAAAATTCCTAATAACCTTTTGCAAAGTACCTGCACTGTATCATATATCACTGAACTGGATTAATTAATTGATTTGCAACCATAGCATTAACAGTTTTTAATTGGCATAACATCTCTTTATCATATGGATGCTCCTTCAAGCTATATATAAAAACGTACTTTCTAATTATTGTAAGATTGTAACAAATTATATAACAGCCTACTAAATATTTTTTTTATTAAAAATGGCAGACTTAAAGGCACCGTTGTTCGTGACTCGGCAGCTTTTGTATGAAAAATGTATCACTATAAAGGAAGGATAGGTATTGATATGCGTGGTGTTAGCGAAGAGCGATACAAAGAATAGCAAGGTGCCCTCATGGTCGTGTTCTGCGTGATGATAAACGATAATCAAATTTCTGGACAGAAAGTGGATGCGAACAGTTGCAAAGACGGTGTTGTATGCCGCCTACGTGTACTATTGGTAACTTCAAAAAAATGGCTCGAATTGGATAGGAAAGCTGAACACCGCGATGGAAGGCCTATATCGAGTAGTGGATTGATACGGACTGATAATTACGATGATGATATACATTAAGAAGTACCTAAAATAACTTACCGTATAGCAGTGGCCTAATATTCTAGCCTCAATTGAACGGACTTAGGAGGGAATTCCTGACTTTGTGGTTTATTAATAATGATTAAATGTGAGTGCTTAAGACGTTATTTATTGAATGGAAATACATAATAATTTAACCACTGAATAACATGGAATAGAAATGGTAAGAAATCAAAATAATTTTGTTACTTAGGTTTGGTTAAAAAACTGATATAAAAATATAATTTCCTCTTCAGCCTGATATCATTTTCTGCCCAGATTTGCCTCGCTATTTGAAAGTGTGATATTGATGTTTAACCCAACATCTTTTTTACTTAAGGTTGATTTTGGTTTTTGCCCACAGGTTTCAGAGTTTGCAGTGTCGTCTTGGTCTGTAATAAAAATAGGCTTAATGTAAGCAAAAAGAAAAAAATAACATTACACAGTAATATTACCATTATTCGTTTGTACGTTTAATACACGGTGGTACAATTCATTGAATTTCCTTTGGCGTCTAATATTTGAGGGTGTTCGCACTACTAACGTAGGCAATAATATGAAATGCTCCAGATTTGGTTTATGCCGAGATGAATATTTTCTTCGAAGAGAATCTTTTTTCACGACAAGCCGAGGGGTTTTCGAGCTTCCTTTATTGTTAGACAAATGACTGGCGCTAGCTTGCTCCTGCACAAATGCTTGCGTCGCTTCAGTATTCTTCTTGCTTTTATTTAGGTTAGACGCTGGATAGCCACTAGAGCGGTCTTTACTAGCCGCGGATCGATACACAGCCGAACTTGGCCCAGGTGAACAGTCATTTTGCTTATATTTCTTCCTACGCAACCAAGGATACGTCATGCGGTCATGACTCCTGTGGCTTCGTCGAGGATTGCGCTCGTCGCATTTATTGTTCGCTAGGACCACACTGGCAGCATTCTTCTTCATTACGGGTACCTCTGAATCTTCATTGGACTGTCTACTCTTGTGACTCGCCACAATGATGTCACCCGTCTTACCAACTGGTCTGCAGCTTTCGTGCCTATGGTTGAGCTTAACGATTCTGTAATGTCGCCGACGCCGTCTTTCAACGTGCGCCACTCGTTCTCGTAGGAGATTATCAATGAGCCGTTGCAATTCAAATCTGTTGTTATAACGATCACAATGCTGGCGACGCGCGAGCCGTGCATTTGGCCAATGAGTTCTACAAACGTCTTCCCATATAATATCACTCAGAACGGCTTCACGCGACGGTGTTAGTTTTATACCATCGTCCCGCGGCGCAAATTCACCTTGGGCCAAATAGTGAACGGTATCCATTAGTCTGTAATCACGTACGGGGTTCAGCTTGTGACGGATCTTGTGAACTCTCTCGGCAGCCATTTTTGGAATGTCGTCACGTTTTCCGGGAACCGAAGAACTTTGGCGTCTTCCCCGGGCGGTTATACCGTCATATGTTGTGAAGTCACGACCATATTGCTCTGAATTATGATCCTTACCTATATTTGTGCCTTTGTTTGCAGACACAGATGTTGATTGTTGTGCGTACCTTTGAAAGGCGGATGTCTCAGGAACATGGCTGTACTGTTCAATATAGCTACAACCTGCATGGCCATTTAAAGAGGTTCTCATTGTTTCCTTGATTTCCTCATCTGATGACGACGTTGGTATATTAGAATCAATAGATCGAACTACCATCTCTTGTTTTAAGATTTTACGTTCTAAATAATCTATTTTTTTCTGTAGCTTTTTTAAAACCCGCAATGAGAACAATGTGTCCTCAGAAGGTGAGTTTCTTGTGGTCAAAGTTGCTATATCAACTTTATTGGAATTCTTACAATTTTCCGGCTTTTTATTTACATTAGGAAGGTTCATAATAATATGAGGCTGTCCGTATATAAAACATTTTTCAGATGATCTCTTTCTTTGATGATATTGTTTACACTCTTCAGATAAATTATCAGGCTGTAAGCATTTCGTAATTGTTTTTGAATTACTTCTTTGGTTCTGGCTTGTTGAATATCGTCGAATGACTTTATTATCTCCGGTTACAATATCACTTGTGTTATTAGATGTAGCCGAATTAAAGACACTGTTGAAATCTGCGCTGCAATCTAAAATGTGAAAAATTAAATGAAATGTACAAGAATGAGTGTATTGAACAGATTTATTACAAATAAAAAAAAACAAAAAATAAAAAAGGTAACTTACTCGTTGCCAATGATTCGTGGTCCCCAATTGCTTGTCGTGATGTAGTTTTATGTGAATGCTGTAAACAGATCAAATGAATTATGAAATTAAAGATAAAAAATAAAAAAAACTTATATTACCTTTCTCGAATTAAACCGATCTTTTTCAGCTAAATATAGAGTTTTGATACCGGGCGTTTTTGGTTTTATACAAACTATTAATTTTTGCAAAGGCTCTTGACTGACAGGATTGTTTTGAAATATTTCAACACCTAGAATTCAATGTTTTTTATTAAATAATTTATAACAGTAATATTATAGGATAGTATGCCATGAAAGGTTAATTATTTTAAGTTGTTTATAAGTAATATTACCCAAGTACAATTGACTTTTTTGGGAACCGTTTGGAAGTTTTGTAAGAGAATCGTATTTAATTTTTCTAATCGACTTTTCTTTCTTTAGCACCAACTTCCTTTGAGATGTAAGCTCTTTACTTTCCATCACATTTTATTCTTTTCCTTACCAGCATACTTCTTAATTTATAAATTCATATATCAAATATTAAGAATTTGTTAAGAACACAAAATTTTTAAGTATCGTTTTGCCAAAAAGTGACTTTGAGCTAATAATATTCTTTTTCTTTATCAGATTCTCAGTTTAACCCAAAGAAGTTTTATCCAAAAGCGAAAATTGTTCTTTCATCTCTGGTTATATAATTTTTTTAGATTCAATCATTAGGAATCTACAGAAATATATAACAAATTTAGGATTTTATTCATATATGTACATATTATTTCCGGATTTTAATATATTCGTTATCAAATATGTATATGTGGTCTCGCAATGACAACAACATACTCATTTATAACATCTCATTTCGAAAATAGAAGTTAATGTAAAACAAAAAAATTTGCTGTCAAAATTGTAAAGCGTGACGTTTTAACATTTTTACTTTTGTGAATATTGTTGTCTAATTTATAAAAAAAAAACCGGACTTGGGAAGCTAATATTTGCACTAGTTCTAGATGCGTTAGTCTTCAAGAAAATGTCTGAACAGGAAAAAAAGAGCGGTTCCCCAGGGACCGGTAGCACACCGGTAGTTATGGTGAGCCAAACGTCAGGCAATCGACAAAAACAACCATACCGCTCTACAGAATTACAAGAAGAGGCGACCGAGCTCCACCACAAAAGATCACACGCGCCTGGTGTGCCATGTACGTATTATCTAGATATCTAGAAGAATGGCACAATAAATGTAACAGTTGCTTTGAAATTGAAGTAGACTTAACATATGGGGCATTCCACGCGAAGCGGACAGGTAAAAAAAGTTGATGTTTCCGATTTTAGTAATATTTGATTATGTTATACCTATATGTGTCCTCAATCTAGATACAAAATATTTTTACAGTATAAAATGTAGTTTACGATTTAGAGAGCTTTAAAAATTTGACTAACCGGCGGGTATGCGCCATTTCGAATCCCATTATCTGGTATTGAAAAGATAGATGGAAATAAATGAAGTAGTCAAGTGTATGCTTAATTTAATGAGCTTTTTAATTGCATTTTTGGATATTAAAAAAAATATTTTTTTTTTGAAAAAAATCATGTTCATACTTTTTAAACTTGAATTTCACAAGTAAGACCACCTTAATTTTTTCTAAAACTAGTTAATAGTGTATAGATAATCCTTGCCAAGTTTCATAATGGGCCTAGAAGTCCTTTAGGAGCTAGGCCATCTACAGTGTCGAAGGGTAGCGCCGGTGCCCGGATCGCGCCTTCTGCCAGTTAACGCGAGATTACAAAAACATCCAATGGAATATTTTGTTTACCTAATTGAGTTAAATAAATCATTTGATCTTACTTAAATGTACCTAAATTTACAATAAAACGACGTTATTATGTTTCGATTACTTATAAATGCTTATTAAAGAATCTTCATGTTATTTCTGCGTTTTATCATAGTGCCTTCAGCAGTCGGAACGAAGGCATGGTATTTTTTTGAATCCGATATTTTCTTTGAGGAGTCAAATCTGATTTTTAGCCTTTCCGTATTTGCCTCATTGATATTGAAGCCATTTCGCACCCTGCGTAGAACGTGACATCTGCAAAATTGTAATTGTTCAGGACGGCTGATTCAAATTATATATTTTTTTTATTTTGGTTATAGTTTTCTTATACATAGCAGTTGCTATTAATTTTCTTGAGGTTTGTAATATTATTAGGTATATAAACAAACAAACAAACTTTTTTTAATAAATAATTATATAGGAAATAAGAGGTTTCATGTGTAATAGCGACGTTTCCTACGGAAAATGGCAAAAACTGATGAGTCACAAGGTCATATATACACGTTTATATAACGTTGGTCAACGGAACATTCCAAATAATAATAAAGAGGTCACACGTTCATTTATAACGGTGTTCTAGTAAAAACTCAGAAAATATGTATGGCATAAACGCATGTGGCACAGTTTTCAACGAAAAATCCATAAAAAGTGGGTGACTGTGCAATAATTATCAATTGACTCTATAGAGTATTTTAGACTCTTCTGTTACATTAGTAAGCTTAGTCTAGTCAGTACAAAAAACAGTGTCTAAACGTACATATTTCCTTGTACTGCGGAGCACAAATCAGTTGTTCTATTCTGAATCTCAATATCTATAAATGAGACGAAATAACTACGACGAATAAATATAAAGCGTAGACAATAATTAAGACTTTCCGACGATAAAATCAAATTCGTTCTATGTGACCACAGAACGTTATGCACGGTGCGATTTATACAAACACTGGGGTGTTATAATGTTTTTTACAAAACCGTCACCCGTCCTTTTGCCATGTGAGTAGCATGAAGATAAAATTCCGCCTCTGTACACAAATCATTTTTGAAATAGAATTTAATAATACTAAATCAATTTTAAAAGTGTTGGTCCCCGTCAGTAATATTAATATATCTTTTTGGACTAATGTTTTGATTTGAAGATATTGATGCTAAAGATTTCGAAAGGTATAAAAATTATCTGTCGTGATTAAAATTGTCCTATAGCATTACAATTCCTCCATAATTTAAGCTTTGCTCTTATCCTTATCTGCAATAATACATTGATGTCAAGTTTTAAAATTTTGAAGAAAAGTGAAGGTTATAATTTTTTTTTTTTAATATACATTAATCGCAACATAATAACGTCGTTTTATTGTTAATTTAAGTACATCTAAGTAATATCAAATGATTTATTAAACTCGATTAGGTAAACAAAATATTCTGTTGGATGTTTTTGTAATCTCGCGTTAACTGGCAGTAGGCGCGGCCCGGGCACCGGCGCTACCCTTCGACACTGTAGATTGGCTGGATCCTAAAAGACTTCTCGGCCCATTATGAAACTTTCCAAGGACTATCTATACACTATTAACTAGTTTTAGAAAAAAAAAATAAAAAAATTAAGGTGGTCCAACTTTGTGAAAGTCAAGTTTAAAAAGTTTGAACATGAATTTTTCTAAAAAAAAAATTTTAATATCCATGAATGCAATTTAAAAGCTCATTAAATTAAGCATACACTTGACTACTTCATTTATTTCCATTTATATTTTCAATACCGGATAATGGGATTCGAAGTGGCGCATACCTGCCGGTTAGTCACATTTTTAAATTTCTCTAAATCGTAAACTACATTTTATACCGCTTCGCGTGGAATGCCCCATATTAAAAATTAAACGGCATAACATTTAGAAACTTAACATATTAGGAATCAAATGGCTGCGGAGTTCGTGAACGAAAAAATAAGCCATTATGTTCAATTATTAGGGGTCAGGGCTTCAGCAATTCACAACTGGACAAGAACTTTCACATAAATTAATCCTCGACTGACAGTGACAGTTATCGGTATCCTCTTTTCATTGAGTCTATTACCGTACACGACAAACGATATTTGTGATAAGGTCATCAATACGCTTTGGAGAGCGTCTTGGGGGTATGAACTCCAGTTCCTCAGCGCTGGGCCCTATTTATAACATTATTAACGTATTATTTTTTTATATGTATTCTTTTTACATTAGCCGTAGTTGAAGAGTTAAAAGACTTACCTGATGATTCATACGCTAGCAACAATGCAGTTTGTAAAGATCGAAAGGATCCCGATCGTGGTGAGTGTTTGTTTACTAGTATAATAAGTGTACTGTGATTACAAAGTATTTTGCGAGTATTTTTATTAGACGTATTTTATATCTTGTTTGTCAGCCAATTTATTGTTTTATTCACGGAAATACTTTGAAGTTATTTAACAAGCTCTTAAAGTAAAAGAAAAGTAACACAAAGTAAAGTAAGTCCCTGCCACAATAGTACTAGATATAGGTAAAAAAGTAAAATAAAGTATCAGCCTATACATGTCCCACTGCTGGGCAAAGGCCTCCTCTATATAGAGGGTATCAGGGCATAGTCCACCACGCGGCCCCACTGCGGATTGGCGGACTTCACATATCTTCGAAATATTATTATTTTTTTTTTTTATTATTTCGAAAATATGCAGGTTTCCTCACGATGTTTTCCTTCACCGCGGAGCACGTGATAAGACAGCACTTAAAGTTAAAAACTTCATTGGTGCCGGCACCGTATTATTCAACCGGCCGGCGGTGTATTTTTTTTTATGTTTTTTACCTCGTAACTTTTAACTGACAGAATCGATATTGATGATTGTTTTTTTATTTGAAAGCTGCCGCTTCCTTGGTATTATAATTTCTATTGGACCTTGGGCTCCGGAGATACTTAGGGAACTCCTGAAAGTCAATTACAAAATGAATACAGAGCGAGATATTTGGTTTTGTTTTTAGTTGGTAAGAAAATGGTTATTATTTATTATACTCGAGCAATCAGAGTTCTAATCTCGGTGCCGGCACCAACGAAAGTGTAATTTAAGTACCTGGAGAACCGCGCTTTGCTCGGTTTTATTGGTAAGTCGTGTATTTGGGAAATTAAAAAAATAAAAAAAAAGCAATGATCTGGTATAGAAAAAAAGTAAAAAAAATAAGTGTGTAAATGATCGTGACACGAACTGCGGCCTTCTGTTTCGGGGCCGCCCGATTATCGACCATTCGGCGAAATTTACCGTCATATTCGAATGATATTTTTCATTCGCTGAAAACAGGGATAAAAGGATATTTTCTAAAAATGAAACCTAGCTAGATCGATTTTTCACCCCTGAATCTACGCACATACTAAATTTCATGAAAATCGCTGAAACCGTTTCCGAGATTCCGATTATACAGGGTGGCTTTTCTAAGTGTATCCATTTTTTTATTAAATTCTACACATAGATAATGATATATAACAAATGATAAATATTTAAAATCACTCGTTATTAATTAATTACATTCACTTGAACTTATAGAGATAAAGAAAAAGTACGCGATTTTTGGGGAACTCATTTATTTTACGCGCAATCATTCATAACTAACACGCACACAAGTCCGTGCACAGTAAAATTTAGATATTTATGAATGACTACCGCATTGTCAACACGTTCTGTTTTTTAGGGATAAGAAAGGCATTTTTTTTTTTGGAAAAAAAACTTTGTTTTTTATTTCAATAAACGATTATACTACCGAGTCTGAACCACAACCTGTGTAAATTTGGACAATTCTCAAAAAATCTCCCTGTTTATCGGAATCTCGGAAATATATATATACGGTAATAGAAACTATCATGAGGAAAGGTGCGTGATGGACTAATCCATAATACCCTTTGTACAGACGAGGCCTTTGCCCAACAGTGGGACATATATAGGCTTATAGGTTACTTTATTTTACTTTTTAAATGTATTTCTACAAGATGTAGGTAAATAGGTAACATGAAATAAAATTTAAGAATATCGCCAAATGCGATTAAGTCCCTACAAAAATTCAATTCTTGGAAAATTAAAAAAAATTGTTTTGCTTCATCTTTCAGTTCTATCCCATGACAAACAGAAGCAGAGTTTGGCGAAGAAATTGTCTTCAAGCACTAAGAAATACGACACCGCTGAACAACGCGATTACGAAACAATTACGTTGGCGCCATTAAAAGTGGAAACAAAGGTAGGGTCAGTGGATTTTACATGCCCTCGGCTTCATGCAAACTCACGACTCGGTTATATACTATGTCGTCACGCGAACCGGTAAAGCGTGTGGATAGCGCAATTATGAAAAGAATGCAGATTCAGGACGTCCATGTGATGTCATCGGAAATCGGTAGTAATTTGAATATAACTATTTTGCGGATCTTATCGCTGTTTATACATAAGGAACCCTGTATATATGTAATAAGGAACGCTGACAACCAAAACTTGCTCCTATATTTTGACTTTATTATATGATTTCGTTTTAGTTTTATGTTATAATATGGGAGACCAGCGAAACTGCTTTTTCTCGTTCAACCACTAGATTATGCACTGAATGAAATGGTTTTTATAAATATAGAATGTATCTTTAGGATAATATTAAAGCCCATTGTGATTGGTCCTTTATAGAATATTTTTTTATGTGATAAAGAGGTAAACGAGCTGGCGGTTCACCTGATTTTAAGTAATAACCGCCGCCCATGGACATTTGCAACACCCGTAGTGTTGCAGATGCGTTGCCACCAACAAAGTGGGCCCAGGCTACCTCACTCACCAGACGAAATCTAGAAGTGCAACACTTCTACTTTACGTCGATCATCTTTGAGGTCGTGGTAATTACTCGGACGGACCAGCCCGTTCGTGCAACAGTGAAAACTGTTGCGTGGTTCTACCACAAATACAAACCCATATAGTAATTGTTTTTTTAATTTTTCACTTGTAAGAGCCACTGCTACGAAGAAAGGTTTTTTCCCCTATTTGGGATTGATTAAGCTAAATAAGGTATAGTGAAAACTAAACATTTTGGACCTTGTAGAATAAGTTAACCTTTGGTTTGTCGGAACGTAGATCTGCGCGCCAAATTGTGCTTCCGTTGACTGTCGGAACGTAGATCTACGCCAGATCGTTTATGATTAATAGTGAGCTATTTACTGAATATATAGAGTTAATTTTCCCGTGAAACTCGATCGAGAAATTAACGAAGGAATTAATGAACCGTACTTTCATAGCTAAAAGAATTATTACTGTTAAAAACCTATTCATTCTTTCACGACTATTTCGAATATCTCCATGTTTTCATTTAAATATTTGAATTAATGTTTTTTGTGAAACAAATATCGAAAACCGTAAGTATTTTTTCTTTTCTTAATGTATAGTATATAAAACAATGATAACGTATCGAAAACTGCAATATTACTAAGAATTTAACGAGATACGAAGAACATAAAATGTATGTATCCGTTCGTCATCTCTCTTTCATTTTCGACTACTAATATTTCGTAGTTTGAATTACACATTCTAATTATCTTACACATAATTTTGATTCTATATAGATATTATAAATAAAATGTAAATTTGGAAAAAACTTTCCATCTAACAGAAATTTCGTTTTCAAATTGTAACGTATAAAAATTTGGAAATATAGGATGTTCATAAAAGTAATTTTTTTTGTTCTCGGGTTGAACATTTCATTGTTTTAATTGATTTGAAATTACTCCATCGCTATAAAATGTAAAGATAAGGTAGAGAACATTTTATCCACTTAGTGTTAATTTACCTATTTTAATGAAAACGAATAAAAATATATTATTGGAAGATACAAGGGTACACTGCAACAGTCTATAAAAGGAACAGCGCTAGCCATTTTCGGGGCCAATCCGTAAGTCATAGGTGCCGTCACCTACAGACCCTTACCGCTAAGTACGTTCCGTCGCAAATGGCGCAGACCACGACACATCCTCGATTTTCCTGATCGACATCGACAGGATAAAACAATAACGCAAACACACCAGATCACACCGCACTCGCCGGCGAGTAGAAGCGTCGTTGGAGTTTCTTCCGCCACTTTTCCCAGCGCCAACGCTTTCCGGAATGGTAGTCATGTTAGACCTAGAAATTCTTCCAGTCAGATAATAACTACCGATTGAGCCGAGGTCTGGCCTTCTACGGCACCCTCGAATCGGAAAGCTAAACGGGTATTGAGTGACAGCCTAAGCTGAGATCCCCTCTCGAGGGTCCTTGAGCCTAGACACTCCATGGAGCGTCCACCAAAGCGCCGTTCCTTTTATAGATCGTTGCAGTGTGAAATTTAATTTTTTTTTAATGGGAAAAAAGCAGCAAACTAGCATGAGGCTCACCTGATGGTAAGTGGTCACCACCGGCCATGGACATCTGCAACACCCGAGGGCTTACAAATGCGTTGCCGGCCTTTTAGGAAAGAGTACGACTGTTGTGGAACGCTGGACATCGAGGTGGTGTGGATGAAATTTTTGGTTGCATTGGCGCGATGTCCGATGGTGAAATTCAGCCGCCGGGATTAATCCAAACAATTCCTCGGAACACTCCCCGTGATAGATGCGGTAGAAGATGCAGAGTGATCCAACATCTCTACGTACAGCCAAAGGATCAAGCCGATCGGAAAGACCTTGATCGTCAAAAACCCTAGCTGCCCTACTTTGGATGCGGTCAAATGGAAGAAGTTGGTAACAGCGGGGTCCAGCCCAGAGGTGAGAGCAGTACTCCATGTGGGGCCAAATTTGCGCCGCGCATTTTTTAATGAGGAGTCACGACAAATGGGGACTTTTTAAGGGTTAACGCGCAAACTTGTGTCTTATTGGGGTTGAATTGGACTAAGTTTAGTCGACCCCAGTCTGAGACTTTTGTTAACAAAGTCTCAACTTCAGACACAAGTTTGTTCCGGCTCTCGTAGACGTTTTCTCGAGAAATGTTAGCACGGCCAGTGTACGACACATCCACAGTGCTATCATCCACATAGCAATGAACACTGCTGATTTGCAACATATCATTGATATGCAGAAGAAACAAAGTGGGAGACAGTACGCAGCCTTGAGGAACACCAGCATTGACAAATTTAGGATCAGAGCATGCACCGTCGACGACGACTTTGATGCTCCGATCTGCCAAAAAGCTGGTGATCCATTTGCATAACTTCCCGGGAAGCCCATAGGAAGGCAGTTTCGAAAGAAGTGCTTTGTGCCACACCCGATCAAAGGCTTTCGCTATGTCCAGACTGGCTGCAAGCGCCTCCCCCTTGCTCTCAACTGCTTCTGCTCATCTGTGTGTCAGGTAAACTAGAAGATCACCGGCTGAGCGACCTCGACGAAAGCCGTACTGGCGGTCGCTAATCACCTGGTGCTCCTCTAGGTACCGCAGGAGCTGGCAGTTAATGATGGTCTCCATTATTATTATTATTATAGGCCTGTAGTTGGACGGATCCGAGCTGTTGCCTTTCTTATGGATCGGGTGCACTAAAGCGGCCTTCCAGGATTTCGGGAATACGCCTGGAGTATAGGAGATCCGGAGAAGACGCGTCAAATCCGGTGCCAACTCCGGAGCACATGTCTTCAACATAATCGGAGGGATGCCATCGGGCCCACTCGACTTATGAATGTCCAAGGAAAAGAGTGCTCTGCGAACTGCACTGCCGAAATTGAACCTCCGGCATCGTAGCATCGCAACGCGGGATTGTTGATGGTAATTTTCCTCGGTTATCCAAAGTCAAGCTGGACGCGGAGAGAGAGCCCATAAGATCGGCTTTCTCCTTCGCAGCATGGGCCAGCGAGTCATCCTCCGTGTGCAGGGGTGGAAAAGAAGGCTTACAGAAATTTCCCAAGACAGCTTTGGCGAAAGACCAAAACGCACATGTTCCCGTTGGGAGACGCGCCAATCTCTCGCCAATTCTGCCAATGTGTTCCTATTTCGCCTTAGCAATAACACTTTTGAAGGACCTAGAGGCAGAGTTATACTTCTTTTTTAAACCGCTGGTTTTTACACCACCTGGTAGCAATCCCGCTTTCAGCGTAATGCCAACTTACAGGAGCGACCAAACCAAGGTTGCGACTTGCCACCAATGGGCACTGCAGAGAACGGAATAAAGAGTTCCATACCTTGAAGCACCACATCAGTCACTGAGTCAGCAACGACGTCTGGGTCATCCGGCGAGAAGCAAATCTGCCCCCATGGGTAGGACAAAAAGAGTGTCGAGGCGACGAGAGCATATAACCTCTTTGACGTACACGCACACCCCAGCCCGCGGCACAAAGGAATGTTCCAGTTTGTACCCCGGGTAGGAGAGGAATGAGGTATCAGCTGGAGAAGATATCTGCGTCTCGGTAAGGAAGAGCAAGGCCGGCTTCGCCGTCTCAAGATGGAAGTGGACGGCGTTTAAGTTGGAATTTAGCCCCCCTATGTTGCAAAAGTCCACGGCATGCGAGGAAGGAAACAACTATCTGTGGGTCACACAAATAGTTGTCCCGTGTGGGAATCGAACCCACGACCCCCGACGCCGAAGCCAATATCTTGGCAAGGAGTTATTAATAAAATCTTTTTTACTACAAATTTTTAATGTTTCGTCTTAAGTGCCGAGAATAGCACAATAAAAAATTTACTTCGAATTTTTTTTATTGGAAGTAGGAAAGAAACTTACTTGAAAATTTAAACATCCTCTATAGTCATATAGTCAGTGTCGGAACGTAGATCTGTGTTCAGACTGTTGTGTCGGAACGTAGATCTGCGCTACTAACGCACCAATAAATTATGATATTTATACTCAAATTTCTTAAGTTTTATCAAAGAAATACACATTTCATTTATATTTATTCAAAACAACATGTATTCTGTTTTCATAACATGGAAATAAAAAAACTAAAACGTTTATCATGAATTACTTATTGATATTTTTCTTTAGGATGTAAGAATTGCTTCTAGTAAACAATAGAAACATTGTACAAAGGCAAAAATGTAATAACTGTAAAGTTAAGCCATCCATATAGCTTTAAAATAAACCTGAATCATATAGATTATGGTTTTCACTACAAATATTGTTCCGAAGAAAGACGCAGTTGCAAAATTGCGCGACTGTTTTTCACCGACAGATAGCGCATTTTTCATAGTGCGCTACCCGACAGACCAAGGTTTAAGTGTATATATTTTTTTTAGCTAGATGCAGTCTTGGCGCCTAAAATTCCTGCAAATCAATTAGATCTAGCAAAGGATTCTTCTGGTTCACACATGGCGGAGAAATCAGCCGAACAGAAAGCAGAAGAGGAAAGCATAAAAGATGAGGTTGTCGAGCTTACAACACCTGAAACTGCCAAAAAACAACTAGAATGGGTAACTGCTCTAACAAACTTACTAAATACATAAGTAGTTGACATTTGTTATTAACGTGTAGCGCGGCAGCCCGCCATTCCTAGTCACCTTTGTATTTCACATTTAAAAGTCTCCACTCATTATGATTATCATTAATGGCTCGCCCTTAACCGCGCAATACGAGACAACAATAATTTCAAAAGTTTGAAGCATTTCCTAATATTATAAATTTTGCGCAATAGATCGCTCGCGTAGAGGTTGAGCTAAATGAGAACGCACATTAATTATGTTTTCGCCCTGACCATATGTAACTACTCGCCCTTTTCCGCAAAATGCAAGACACCATTTGCAAAAGTGTGAAGCATTTCTTAATATTATAAACTTTGTATAATAAATAGCTCGCGTAGAGGCTCAGAGCTAAATGAAAACACGGATAAATGTTGTTTGCACCTTGTTCGTATTTAACTACTATCCCTTTTCTGTGAAATGCAAGACGACAATTGTAAAAGTGTGAAGCATTGCCTGATGTTATAAACTTTGCACAATAGATCGGTCGTGTAGAGGTTCAGCTTAATGATAACGCGGATTAATGGTGTTAAATGTTTGTAGTCCGACGACGAGGAGGCGGGCGGGCTGCCGCGCAGCGATTCGCGCGCCTCGCGAATCTCGCGCACTGTCCGCCAGTTCTTTTGCTGCGGCGTGCCGTACGAGGCGCCCTCGGAGGACGACGTCTCCACGGGACGCTGCGTCTCCGGGATATAGCTCGCTCGGCTCACGCGCATACGCACACTGTAGCTGGTAATTTTGGACGTTGCGGGGGAACAGCGAGGCGCGGCGGGTCGTTGACCGAGACATTTCGCGTTGGGCACACGATTGGCCGTCGTAGTGTTCGCTTTCTCGTTTTTTTTTTACGGAACAACTCTTTTATAAACAGTAGGGATCAGCGTTGCCACGGTTGGAAGTTACCAGAGCGTAATAATGAAAACATAAGTATATAATTACATAATATTATATAGAACATTCTGCGTGTACTTAGTTGTGTATATAAAATTACCTAATAAATTGGTCTTTTATTTCATTAACAGTTTAAAGTATAGATTGATCACTTATGTGGTTTTTAAACCGTCATGACTCAATGTATACTTTCAGTTTCTTTCTAATCAGCTGATTTGGTTGAAGTTAAAAAAATGGAGAAATAGTTTCAATGTTTATTAGTATCGCCTTCACGAAAAGAAACATTTGAACAGTAGATTTGAACAAAGCTCTCTGTATTAAATATATAGTAAGTTAACTATATTAGGGGTCGAAACTGTGTTAGGGGTAGGGCCACGCCTGTTGTACGAATCGGCAGGTTCGTACGTGGCAGGTACCACAACCTCACAGAAGACCGGTGTGCAGCAGAAATGTTACACTCCTGCGTATCCTCAGGTGAGTGAGGTAGCCAGGGTACACTTTATTAAAAGGTGGCAACGCAACTCTACAGGTGTTGTAAATGCCAATGGGCGGAAATTATCACTTTACTTCAGGTGAACCGCCAGCTCGCTAGCCACATTCTCACATAAAGAAAACATCAAATATAACATGAACATTTTGAAATTTAACTGGAATCTTTGTCGCTATAACTTTATTCATGTAAACACGTTTTCAAGCAAATATTGTAATATCAATTAAAAAGTTAATTATTAACATTCCAACAACAATTTATTACATTCGAACCTTTAGGTCTATTGTTCCTATTAAAAATAATACACCAAGCAATGTTGTTACACAAATGATGTTATTATCTATGTTTGTACATAGATATGTCATGTTGTTATTTTTATCTGCTTTAATTTCGAGCTAGATTTGAAAATAAGTAGATGTTTTAAATAATGTTGCGTTTAGTCTGAAAAGGCTCTACTGCGATCATTCGTATAGATTAAAACAATTAAAATGATATTGTTTATCAGTGTCTGTACTTGCTTATTACAAACAAACATAAATTATATATGTTCTACTATGATTGATTATGGTTATGGGCATTCTTTTTCAATAAAAGTTGATCAAAATGAAGATTATTTTTTATTATATATAATTATTTTTCTGAAAATTCCGCCATGCATGTTGAATATGATGATGTTCAATGTTACATTTTTGTAATGGTTTTCACTTTTAAAATTATAAAGTTTAACTGACGATCATATTGCAATTGAAGTTTCCACATTTATATTTTCATATTATTTTAATGTTAAAGATATTATAATTTCAGCGAATTGTTTTTTTTTTGTGTTGGCTTTACAATTGAATAAGGATGAAATGAAAGCACCATCTCACGCCTGCATGTTAAAAAAACACTTCTGTACGGCTTTTATCGAATTTAGTGTGTTTATAAGTTCCCCATGTTTATTAATCGCGGAAATACAAGAAAACGAATGAGATTTATATCTTTTCTATTAAAAAAACTAAGTTTATCTCTTCTAAACTCCCGAAGAGTTTGAGTAATTCGCTATTTAAGAAGCATTTCTTTTACAGGAATTTCGTTACAATAAGTGAACTTAATATACTTATTAATTTTATGAAATAAAAGCTTGCTTAAATTCTATGTCCACAATAATGCCAAGGTTTGTTGAGTCTAGATTCGATAAGCAAGTCTCAATTTGACCTAAACGTTTTTCATGTGTAAAACTTTTTGTTTTAGCATAAGAAAATTTATCCTTACGCACTAGAAAATAAGGCTTCAGTTGGACCATGTCAACGACCTCGAATGCCATTTGAACGTCCATCTGGTATCACCATATGCATACCAAAGGTTTAAACTTTTCTTTTCATTTATATATCTTTATTTATCGACGCACTACAGCAGGTTAAATGATCGTAGAATGGATGGTGAAACGTGTAAATAAACATGAATTTTTTTTAACAACTTTCGATATAGTTATTGCTAAAACCCCATGCAAAATCACTGTCAGTACTAATACTGCCATAATACTTATCTACAAACTCTACATTTGATACATTTTAACATACATACGTGTACCTTAATTATTAAAAATTATAAAAAGTTTCACTTCCATAAAATGTTCGTTGGTGCATGCGAAAGTTTAACAGAAAACCACCTATTTATTTTTCCATTTCCCATGATTGTAATGTAGCCCGAATTATCGTGGTTCCCATAAATGTAAAGTTAATTAAACCACGAAATAATTAATACCATAGCGATGATTTGTAAAACATTGTAAGCGCTATCTTGTAAATTTTATATTCTGAAAATTATAATACTTTAATATCATTGACAACAATAATCTTTATTGCCAAAAGCGTTAATATAAGCACTGCTCACCGTTAGACCTTCACAGGTTCTAGATGAAACTTCTTGAAATGAAATTTATATTTCAGAGATCTTCAAGGCTAATTAATGTACAGTCTGGGATTAATTTCAACATTCCAAAGGTAAGCGAAATATTGATTTCCGGTATTACTGTTTTATGTTATTAGAAACTTAGAAATGCATCAGTGGCCAATACAGCTACAGTTATATTGTTACCCATTGTCAAACGTTGTTGAATTTTTTATTCATGAGGTTCCTGTTTTTTAAACATTTTTTTAACAGAGACCCACATGCAAGTCGACGATGAATATTGAAATGCAAGAGCGTCGCAGCACTGGTGACTCATAGAATTAGCAGAGCCCAAAATTAAATCACTCGCTTTATTACTTTTCCATTCTTTTGCATGATTTATATTTTTTATTTTATATAAAAATAGTTATCTTTGTATATACCTGATACAGTAAATTTATGAATGCGACTATTTATAATGTTTTAAGGCCTGTTGACCTTACAACTATATGGAAATTTAAAGACAAATATTGATTAAATTATATAGTTTGGTATGATGGCCCAAATTTAAGTTGGTAACTAAACTTTGTGTTAGCATTACATTTTGAATATGAGTAACCCATCATGATATAGGAAAGAGAACAAATGGGAACAATAAAACGTCTTCATAAACCAATGTCTACTTTATTAATTTCAATTTGTCAACCTCCTATACAGGTATTTAGAATATGTACCGAAGTACAAATATTCGTAAATTAGTCTATAATAAAAAAAAATGGTTCAAGGGATTATGCGTGATGTCAGCAAAGCTATTTATTAATAAAAGAAAAAACATCAGCACAACTTATTCACGATTCGATCATTACTCCACCACACAAAGTTGATAAATAGATGACTTCTCTATTTTTTTATATTCATGGAATAACGATGACTCGACCATTCGTAATCCGCTAACACACATTGGGCGGTGCTCTCGCTCTGTCCCTTATCTGCTGTTCCATTCGCACGCTCTTCGGTACGCGACACTTGGTGCAGGCGTCGCCGTGCTGGACCATGAGGTGCCCGCCCCTCGTCGCCCTCGGTGTCTCGAAGTCAAAGTCTCGCGGCCTCCAGCACAGCTCGGTGCTGCCGCAGCGGCAGGTCATCTCGCGGCAAATCTACCAAGGCGGATTTATATGTATTACAAAATCAATCTACGCGTAACATCGGCTGACTTATGAGTGATATAGATATGACGGATAGACACATGGATCTAAATGTAACATACACCGATCATATGGCGAAGGAGATTGATTTTTTTCGAGCGTTATGTATAGGGAGATTTTTTGAGAAGTGGCCAAATTTACACAGGAGTTTCATACTCGGTAGTATAATCGTTTATTGAAATAAAAAAACAATGTTTCTTTTTTTCAAAAAAAAAAATGCCATTCTATTCACTAAAAACAGAACGTGTTGACAATGCGGTAGTCATCCATAAATATCTAAATTTTACTATGCACGAACGCGTATGCGTGTTAGTTATGAATGATCGCGCGTAAAATAAATGAGTTGCGAATAAATCACGTACTTTTTAAAATAAGTTCAAATGAATGTAATTAATTACTTAGAATGATTTTAAATATTTATCATTTTTTATATAACATTATTTGTCTAGAATTTAATTAAAAAAAATGGATACACTTAGAAAAGCCACCCTGTATATGCCCCTGCCCGCTCTACAGCCTAAACCTTTTGATGGATTTCTGCATATGATGTTATTCGATTCGTCTTCAGTTACGAGGAGGACATATGATATTATGGTTTATAATTTCAATATACCGATCAAAAATATATAGAGGAATAGTTGAATATATATAGAAATATTAACTACTACACACATGTAGTAGTCCGTATTTTTAAACGGATACCTGTTACGCACATATTTTAAAATTATTGCGTGTTTTCCCGTTTAAAACGGATACAGTTAGATCGGTTTAAGCTCTTATAACTTCATGAACGACGTGTCTTCAGAGTTAGACGTTTATGAGAGTTTAAATTAAGGCTAAATTTAAAATCCAGCAATCGTGAATTTCGGTCACTCGAGATAATACACACATACTGGACGAGTGAACAATCTAATGCAATTCAGCGATAATTGACGTTTATGAGAGCCTTAAGTCTAAATTTACTAATTGTGCTTTCTCAATATCGCTCGCTCACGGAGGCGATTGAGATACCTGTAACTTAGAATCTAGTCGAGACATTTATGGCTAATTTTGCCGTTTGTGACAGCGTAAATCGAGCCTAAATTTTGACGTATATGACAGCGTAAATCGAGCCTTAATTTTGACATTTATGACAGCGTAAATCGAGCCTAAATTTTGACGTTTATGCCAGCGTAAATCGAGCCTGAATGCAATAACTCACCGAGGCCAAATATTCATCGCGGCACGCGTCGGGGTAGTCGCAAGTCCAGGTATTCGGCGGCACGCAGGGGACCACCGGCTGAGCGAAACACTCGCTCGGGCAAGGGGTACAGGGCGCCGCACAAGAGCATTGCTGGCACATCGTGTACACCTGCGATTCGGCGTTGTTTTTCTATTTTAAACTGTGGTGGGGTCACGCTACAGTTCGCTGTGCCACTACTCCACAGAAAATGCGGGAAGTGGTAGTGTTATACTTCTGCGTTTTGTGTGTAAGTGGGTTAACCGGGACAAACATTATTAAAAGGTGGCACATCTGCCACGAGTATTGCAAATGTCTATGGGGCGGCTATCACTTAACATCAAGTTAACCGCCAGTTCCAACCAACCAACCAACTGGCTTCACATTTTTATATCATAAAATCTATTTCATTTCGAAATCAAACATACAATATAATAAAATAATATATAGGTATATTTATTAGGAGCGACATCCAATTGTGATCCACAGGACTTGAGCTTAATAATAGAAATGGAAATGGAATTTTAATCCAATCTTCGACTTACCAGCCACACGGCTCTTGCGATCTCATTTCTCACATAAGACAGACAGTTGCATAAAAGGCAATTCTCGAATTTACTGAGCTCTGGTATTCCCAAATTTTTCTCTATCCCAGTCGCACCTAGGACAACCTGCAGGTCAAGAGTAAAGGGATAATTAATTACATCTGTTTGTAATCCTTATTAATTTGGTAATGTGAATGTGACAGATGAATTTACATCCGTTAAAGTATTACGTTAAGCTTACTTCCGCTCTATATAACAATTTTAAGTATAAAATATTTATTAGCAATCTCTTTCCAACAAATATCTTTAATATAAAGTTGGCGATGGCAAATATTTGGATGGAATTGGGTGCAGTGGACTTTCTGCAGCTGGTTATTTATTATTGGGTCAATGTAAAAAAGTCCATATTACGGATAATCTTATCCTACAGCAAAATATATAAAAACTCAAGAAGCAGTGGTGTGCTAGTAGCCGGGGATATTATGCACAAGGTCATGGTTCAAACCCCGTGCACTAGTGAATTTTCAATTTTCGTCGGAATTGTCTTTGCCACACACATGCATGCTCGGTGTTCGCCGACAACCGGTGTGAAGTGGAAGTGGTATACTTCTGCGTTTCGTCTGGTGAGCGAGGTAACCGAGGCTCACTTTATAAAAAGCTGCCAAAGCGTAACGTGTAATGCTAAATCAAAGGCGGTGACCGTAATACGCACTTGAATAAATTGCACATTTTGTAGATGAACAAAAACATTCGGTGCGGATTCGAACCTGCGTCTTCTGGTTTCGCGCCCAGACGCTTTACCGACTAAACTAAGAGGCCGATGTCGAGGGCAACGAAAGTTTTCGTTAATTTACCTACAAAAAATCACAATTTAAAGCTTCATCATTTCAAAAACTGCAATTTAGTCGAACACAAAACCACCTTCACTTTTGCAATCGGTTAAAAATACATACAGTCGAACATAGAACCTCATCCTCCTTTGAAGTCCGTTAAAATACATGCGAACAGAGACATCGAATTCGAATTCGATGTCTGTTTAAAGATCAAAACTAATCCCAAAGCTCACCCACCTCGTTGGCGAAGAACTGGCAGTTGGGGGCGCAGGTGCCGAGGCAGTCCACGTATGCGCACTGCACCACCTTACCGCCCTGCAGGCCCTTCACCACGTTCACCGTGTTCCTCGCCAGCGCGTACGCACCGGCCAGGCACGCAGTCGCTTTGCAGCAGCCCTTGGCGGCGCACACTGCCTCGTTGCCGCTCATTATGCACGACGTCACGCACTCCACCTTCATTGATCTCTATTTAATTTCTATTTCATTCGTTTAATGCCTATTTTTAGGGTTCCGCACCCAAAGGGTAAAACGGGACCCTATAAATAAGACTCCGCTGTCTGTGTGTCTGTTTATCTGTCCGTCTGTCACCAGGTTGTATCTCATGAAGTGTGATAGTTAGTTGAAAATTTGTTGTTGTATTTCTATTGCCGTTATAGAAACAAATGCTAAAAAAACAGAATAAAAAAGAATATTTAAGTGGAGCTCCCGTAAGGGAGCCACTGAAAAAAATCATTTTTTGGCCGTTTTTATAGATAATGGTACGGAACCCTTCAAGCGCGAGTCCGACTCGCGCTTGATTTTTTGCAAGTGTATATAATTTGCATTTAGTCTTGTGACTGAGGTAATCAGCTCCCACTTTTTAAAGGTTGTCAACGCATTCTATTACATCCACAGCTGCCTATTGTCACCCAACATAACAATAACCGCCTTGTCGTTCTATGTCCTATTGTCGAAACTCGCCTGCTCTTGCGTCATGGTGCCCGGGTGCACCGCCGACGATAGCACGGGCACCATCGTGCTGGCGGTCGCCCCCCCCACAACGGGCACCCGCACCCCCTCTGGCGGCACCCGCAGGAAGTCCGCGAGCACGGTGTTCGCCCGCACGCAGTTGAGCTCCACGCAGCCGAGCAGTTTCCGCGGGTTGTACACCGCGCGCAGACGCTGGATCTCGCTGACGAGCGGCACCATGCTCTCCACCGGCTCGGTGCCGACGATCGTGACGGTCTGCGGGAACGATAACGGTCAAGTTCGTTTTTCCCCCTCGGTGAAGTAAAGTGACAGCCTATACATGTGTCCCAATGCCGGGCAAAGGCCTGCTCTGTACAGAGGGTATCAGGGCATAGTCCGCACGGCCCTACAGCGGATTGGCGGACTTCACAAAATGTGTTCGAAATATTTTTTCGTTATTGTAATTATTTCGAAAATATGCAGGTTTCCTCACGATGTTTTCCTTAGGCAGCGAGCACTTAAAATTATAAATTCTCATTGGTTTGATTTGTTTATTTTGGAATGAGCATTAAAGATTATGTTAATTCATTTATAAGTTACTTCGTACAATGTGTTCGTTCGTACTTCGTACAAACCTATATTTCATTTAAATTTACAAGAAATAAGTATTGAAACAAAAATTTATGAAATGAAGCTCGCGGCCCTTAACAAATTTAATAAACTTTATATTGGCGTAACAAATTTTCGCAAAGTAGCGGTTGGTTCTATATAATACTATACCGTAGGTTGAAAATGAAAATAAGCCTCTCGTACATACCTCGGGGCACACATTGCAAATCTGAAGTGCGATTTCTGTTACAATTGGAGCGCTGTTTTCAAAAGTATCGCTCTCGTTCCTGGCTACGATTACCACAACATTTGATCCCTGTGGAAAATGAGATGGATTTAAATATTTAAAATGGCGAATGATTATGTCTGGATGTGAATAAAATTTCCTTAGACTAACAACCATTTACTTATATGAAAAAGTTACCACCTTAAGTGCATCGCATAGCATATGACGGCCGGAGTAAGACGATATCTTGCATTTGGTGTCAACATGGCTTAGCTCCATTCCGTAGCCGCATGTTGGGCAAATGTCATACAATGCTATTTCATCTAATAACGGGCATTGTTTCAATAGCAAAGCTAGGGGCTGTCCTGTACAATATAAATGAGTGTTCAGAGAAAATTTTTATCAAAATATTTTTAGATTATGCAAAGAAATATTTACAAATCAAAAAATGATATATGTAGAACTTAAGCTGCTGAACAGAGAAAATCCGTGGTCAATAAAACTGGGCTTCGAAATATAATCTCGTAAATCTAAAGATACATTCTTATACCAACCACAAATAATCTATTTCTCAGTAGATTACCTGTATTTCCAGCGGCTCCGCAAATAGTAACTTTCATGCCCGCTGGGCATGTGCTATACTGGCGCGATACAAGTCGGTTTCTTCCAAAATTATTCGACGATCTTTGTAACGTGAATCCTTTGAACACACTAATTTCCAGAAGGTTAAAAAAAGACTTCAGGTGATTCATTTTTTTATATTAATATATTAAAGTGTATTTTTTTATTTTATTATTAATTTCACATTTTTAATTTTATATCAAAATAATTTTGTTTATGACTTTTCGCAAAGAATTTTAGAAACGTCAGTCAAAATATGGTTGTCATCACGAAAATGTAATAAAGAAGTTTAGACATGATTTTCGATTTCTATTTCAAAAAAAGTTCAATGGTAAAAATAATTCATGGTCCAATGTTATCCAAGTGTTAAAATCTTCTATCCACAGTGACTATTTACATATTGATTGGAAAAGAAAACGCAGAAACACTATTAGTATTGACTAGCCGCTACCTGCGGCATTACCTAACAGGTACTCTGTTGTTTCTCAACTTTACAACTATGTAATTTTGTAAAGTGGTCATTTAGGTTATGTCGGACTCGCACCGACTAAAAGCCCTATGATGCTGCACCTAGGCGCAAATTGGCAGTGCCATGGGAACGCATTCGCACACTTCCGCGACCCAGCCAGTGCTGGCCGCCTCAGCAGCCCCCTCCCGGGGATCAACTTCTCTCTCTCAATGAGGGGATATCAACTCTCCCCTCGCGGCCCAACCACCACTGCAACAACGTTGCAGCCCCGCCGCGTCGCGGAGGATAGAGAAGGAGCGCGGCCTCCTCTCTACCACCCTCGACTTGTCCCCTGCACCCTCCAGCACGCATCCAGTGTGGGCTCAATGAGCCCACTCGGAGCAGCCCTCTCGGGCCGGCCTTACACCACAGGCCGCCCCAGTGTGGGTTCCTCTTAGCTTCGCCGTGGGTAACCAAGCCACGGCTACTAAGCCCCTCCGCCACGTCAAGATGACTCCGTGGCGCAGTCGCCAAGGTATCGGCTTCGGCGTCGGAGGTCGTGGGTTCGATTCCCACATGGGACAACTATTTGTGCGACCCAAAGATAGTTGTTCCGCATCTGGGTGTTTGTCCGCGTGAAATTTGTTTGTAAAAACGTCATTAAAACACAGGATAATGTTATGCCAAAGTAAGGGCAATGTTTAAAAAAAAAGACAGAAACCCGGTCGGAGTGGGAAATGGCTTGGCCTTTTTTATTTTTCCGTGGGAAAAATGCTTTATGGAATAAATATATAGCGAACCACGGCTGGTAGCGAAAGGTCGTGCCCCACGATAGCTCCCTCGACGCCACGCGAAACATGTGCCTCCCGAAACAACCCTGTCCCGAGAGGATCCGCGTCGCACGGTAGGTAACGGTGCCGAGTCACCTGTCCAGCCACTTCCGGGACAGGCGTAGACGTATGGCCTCTAAGGTTCTTAGGTCGGCACTGGGGTGCTCTAGCCTCTACTCCCACTCCCCGATGGCGTTTGAGCGCAGGCAATACCTGCGCTGCCCCAACTCCTCCGGGGCTGGCATATGGCCCTGGGCTTTTGCTGCCTCGTGCCTGGAGTGCAATGACGCGAGGATCTTAGCTTCCAGATCCCGGGGCAGAAAGCCGGTCAACAGGCAAGCCGCCTCACCGGAGATCGTTCGTCCGAATACCCTCTGTGGTTTGCGCAAAAGCGCTTGGGTCCGGCGCTTCAGGGTGTCAGCTCAAACGGTCATGGTCCATAATGTGAGCATCCGCAGGTGGCGTGTTGCGAGGCCCATAAAAACATAGAGCCTCAGACTTATTCAGCGCCACCTCTAGGCCTAGTAGACGAATGCGTCCCACCGTCAGAGCCACTCCCGCAGTGGCGAGAATAGCGGCCCGGCGAAAGTTTGTGCTACGGGCGGTCACAAGGGTATCATCCACGTAAAAAATCACCTCGATACCCCTGTTATAGGCGCCACTTAGCACCTAGTCATAGCCTATGTTCCACAGGAGTGGCCTTGTGGAACACCGCATGACGTGCGGTGTTCCAGTTCCTCGAAGGGTCGATGCCCGTCTTGGCACGGAAACTCAACACGGCGCACTCAACTTGGCCTAGGAAAAACTATTTTGTCCTAAAATCGAGTTTGGGCTGTAACAAAATATATAACGCCAGAAAAATTGTTAATAAGTTACATTTTCTGTGAAGTATGTAATACACTAATTAAAGGATAGTGCCACTTTTTGTGTTTACTAACATGCAATCGTTAATTATTAATATGTCATCAGCGATTTTATCTTCTGCATGGTCATCCTTTTACAATTAGCGATAAAGTGATTTTAGATTTACATTTGCTTTTATATTTCACTAGTGATATTTGTGTTCGCAAAATGTTTAATCGATTGAAAAAGTTCTTTAAAATTGTGGTTAAACATAAAGAAAACTTAAAATTAAGTGAAATAATAAAGCCAATGTGCACTATAGTTGCTTTTTTTGGCTTATTGCCTTACAGTGTTAAATTTCAGAGAGGCAAACATGAGGTAGCGATAAGTCCTAAATCAATTTACGGGAATACTTTGTGTGGAGTGTGTGTAGTACTGGTCGTGCTCACATTTTCCGCGATGCATCTTCGTTCATTGCCTTTAACACCAGACATAAATTCGGATACAGATGCGAAGTCCATACAAGCAACACACCACATTCTGGAACTTATTTTAACAGTAGTATTTCTATTAGTTGCGTATATCTGCGCTTTATTGAATCGACAAAAATACGTCAAGATTTTGAATATAATAATAGCCACTTGGATTATATTACCGGAAAATTACTCAAATCGATGCATTTTAAGCCGTCTTCATTGTAAAGTTATTATAATGATTGGTTGTCTAATACTTGTAACAGTGTTGCAAATCTGTCTTCATTTTACGCAAGGCGATGGCATCATAAACATGATTTACGTTTTTCTGTCTTTTAATCTAGCACAGTCTATTCAATTTTTAATAATATGGTTCTTTTGCGTCTTTGCCATGATGCTTGTATCTTTACTTTCCAATCTCAAAAGTCACATGATTCAATTAAAAATTAATAAAACAAATGAGTGCGTCGGTTCTATTAAAATAAAGACAAATACCTCTTTAACTCTAAGGCAAATGGAGTTGGTGTTTCTGAAAGCTTTTGAGGCAAAAACACGTATAAATGAAACCTTTCAAGGCCCTCTGTTTGTGGCTACTTTACAATGTTTTCATGCAGTATTGATGGGAGGATATTTAATTCTACGTGTTATTTTCGTTAATAAGTCTTTTAGCTTTTTTGATACTTTTAAACATAGTGTTTCATTATTTTTACCATTATTGAAAATATTTGCTATGGTATCATCGGGCAATGCTTTGGAAATGGAGGTAAATTGACTTTTAGTATAATCCGTAAAGTTATGTTAAGTTAAAAAACTGATGTATTTAATTAATAATAACCAATATTTTAGGTTTTTAAAATAGGTGATGTCCTTCAGCAAATCCCTACTGAGGAACAGGATTTACGTTCGATTATGGAGGTTTGCTTTTTTTTTAATGCGAAAGTTGCCAAACGAGAAGACAGATCACCTGATGTTAAGTGAGAACTACCCTCTGTTAATACTCATAACATCGATATTGTTGCCAACTACTGAGTGTAAGACTCTTCCCCGATCAAGGTAGCATAATCTAGCAGCACCAGGTGCTAAATAACTGACGTAGCTCTACCGCAGTACAGCGCGAAAGTGTATAAATGTTACTATACTGAGAAGAATAAGAAAATTCTTTCCATCATAACATACTTTAGACTATAACGACCCGAATGGCGTAGTGGTTATTGTACCTGCCTCCTGCGCCAGAGGGTGTGGGTTCGATCCCCACTACTGGAAAAATATTGTGTGATGAATATAGTGTTTTTCTAGTGTCTGGGTGTTCATACATATATGTATAAACACCCAGACACCCTGTATTTATTTACAAAAGAAAAGTATGTTTAAGTATGTTTATCAGTATTCTAGTACCCATAGTACAAGCGTTGCTTAGTTTGGGACTAGAAAATGTTGTATAAAAATGTGTCCTAAAAATATATCATATATAAGAGTTTACTGGTGAACAAGAAAGAAAAAGTAATAAGCTTTAATTGGAAACAAAACATAACTGTACAAATTATTTAAATATATAAAAAAAAGTATGTGTGTACGCACGTAACAAATTATATTTCACACTAAATGCAATTGGGGTCTATTAAATAACTTGGAATTATTGGTCTATAAGTAATATGAAAATAACCTCAAAGAACTAAAAAATAATCATGATAATTTATGTAATGGATTACGTCTAAGTTGCATTCAATTGGCAATCAATCAAGGATGTTTAACATAATACGACATATGTAAGTAACAGATGATGTAGAACGTATGATACGGAAAGACATAGCAGGCTATAGAATAGTAATCTAATTACGCCCATTGACGTAATTTGAGTGCCTCATTTTCTGTGTGCTAGTGTCATCTACTTCGTATTTTTATATAATGTCATTGGGATTAATTAATTTCTTATATAAAATTCATTTCAAAAATTGCAGATGTCATAGCTTGACGTTGAAGGATGAAATTTTTCTTTCCAGATACAGCATTTCTCAGCATTAATATCTACCCTCAACATGAAATTGACGTTGTACGGAAGTTTTT